AAACACTGCACATCACTGAAGGACTGTTAAAAAATAACCAAAAAGTTCTTCATGCACTTAAACTGTTAACAGTTGGCTTCAACCGTGAAATCTCTAATTGTTTTAAATCTAGATCCTTACCCCCACAACTCCTTTTGCATGGTGCATGTTCAAGATACCAACATTGGCAATTGTTACTACAGTTAAAAGCTTGAATCTGGTGCTCTATTGTCCATCTTCTGGACATTACTAAATGTACATGTGACCCTGTCAATAAACTCTTAATTCATGAACGGAACAGCACCATTTGCCTAGCTCTATCACTATGACTTCCTTAAGTTAATATATGATGTAAGAATTCCTGCTACTTAAGACTCCATAATGAGTCATACAGAGCAAAAAAAAACTATTTTAAGAATAAGTATCAAAAGGTAATGGAAAGTTAGAAATTGTCTTACTACTCAAACGTTGCATTTTTCCCCTTTTAGAGGGGAGATTCATATAGATTAGAATTATTAGAACGTCCAAAAGCAGAATGATATGCAGCCATGCAGGAAGATTATACACAGATTTTTACATGAAGACAGTAAGAGCTGTCACTCACATGCTTAAAGTCTCTTTCATACGGTCACATTAAGCCATAAAAATATTTTAGGTTTGATAAGAATGTTTTTGTATAGGAATGGGCAGCGTCCCACGAAAACTCTCCCTTTCCAGGAGAAAGATTCGCTGGGAATGTCAAGAGAACTCTCTTATAAATAGCATGTGGAAGGAGAGATGTACCACCTTTGTGTCATTCGGATGCTCTGAGCAGGCTCTGCTCCGTACCACTGGGATATGTAATACTGTGCAGGAAGCGCAGCCAGCAGTGCGCAGATCTGCAGGGCTGCAGCTGCACTGATGTGAGGCATCCCAACCAGGAGTTCTTAAGGAGACTTTCCTGCTCTCTTATCTAAAAAACAGGCAAAAAAAAAAAAAAAAAGGGGAAAAAAAAAAAAAGAAAAAGAAGGTAACATGCAGCTTGTCTGGCTGCATAGAGCTTAAAAGTTCCCTGTGGATTGCTTTGTTACTCCACAGGATAATATACAAACTGTACACACAAATGTAAATTAGGTTTCGCTACATTAAATTTGAGAGCGTCTATAGAAACTAATAGAAGACTGAAATAGAGTAATTAAATGCATTAAACACATTTGACACATCAGATCGATGGCTTCCGAAAAAGCCATTTAGATGCAGTATTGCATGTGCAGAATGGAGGATTTTTCTCCAAGAATGTCGCCTTCAGACCAGAAGCATTACCCCAAGGAAAGAGTAACACAAGCCACCGTCACACGAAGGCCTGGAAGCACTTAATCACAGGATGGCCAGGGTTGGAAGGGACCTCAAGGATCATGAATCTCTAACCCCCCCACCACAGGCAGGGCCACCAACCTCCCCATTTAATACCAGACCAGGCTGCCCAGGGCCCCATCCAACCTGGCCTTGAACACCTCCAGGGACGGGGCATCCACAACCTCTCTGGGCAGCCTGTTCCAGCACCTCACCACTCTCTCTGTAAAGAATTTCCCCCTGATATCCAACATAAATCTCCCCTCCCTCAACTTCAAACCATTTCCCCCTGTCCTGCTGGAAACACAGCAACACCACAGTGACCCCTGCGCACTGGTTACAAAATGATGGGTGTCACTGTAACTGACACTGCCTGGACATCAGGCAAGTCCTGCAGCCCCAAACAGCTGCACACACCCCCAGGTACCTCAGCAGCCGTCAGCACGTGTTTCTGCTCTGCTCCAGCCACCCTGAGGCTCAGCTGAGGGCTGCCTCTTCACTCTGTGGTCCCAAGGTGAATGGCACCCCTAATGAAAGGAGAACAGAAAGGAAAAGAGAGCTGCATCTTATTCTCACAGCTTCCTTTTGAGTAAATCCACGCTGCTCCCCTGAGCACAGATTTCAGTGGTTTCTTCCAGAAAGGTGAACAAGTCCATTTCCCTGTCACAAACAGAGGCCCGATGGAAATCCCCTGATTTGAATATTATGCAAAAAAAATCAGGATGTAACACGCTTGTAACGCAGCTTGCCTGAGACCCTCCTGGCAGCTCTGAGCACTCTGCAACGGGCAGCTCTGTCAAGGGTGGATGAATGTATAACTGAAGCCAAAGTCTCCTCCTCATCTGTCAGGATATCCATCAGACTTCACCCTAGCCTCTACCAGGCCGGATCTCCTCTCCACTGAGGCCACAGCTGCTGATGGAGTCACCTCTTTGTCACTTCAGTGAGTAGCATTGATATCTACGCTTTCCAAATAAATGTAAAACTACAGAAAGTACTTTTTCTCCTGCAGGCACGTGCTACAAGTGGCAGTGGTCTCTGACATAATGCAAAAAAATACAAGAACAAAACCACTTGATGATATGGGCAGAAAGCTCTTCTGCATTCTATCATGTACAAAATCAGCAACGTATGTTATAAATTCCAGCCAACATACAGTGTTGTTAGACAGCTAATGAGTAATTGTGTCCCTTCTACAGACAGGGAAAAGCCATGAAGAGTAGCTGCTGGACAGAGCAGAGGAGCAGCATCGCCATTTCTGTATATCACACTGCTGGCCAGAACACCTTGCTTTATTGCTGGGTCTGAATTGCGTTTTCTTGGGCAACAGTTTTGAGCCTAGGGCCCATGGAATATAATCAAGAAAAGCAAGCATATTATCAGGCTTACATTCAGCATCCTGGGGCATGCAGTCAAACAAGGGTAATCCATCTTTCTAGTGCAGAAAATGCTTTGAATTCCTGTGCCTTGGCTATGCAGGCAGCTAAGGAAAAACATGTCAGGGTTTGGCACTGCTTCTTTCACCCCTCCATAGCTTGTGTTATCCCTCAATGTTCTTCCCTCCCCATCCTCAGGGCCTCCCCAGAGTTCTTCCTTGCTTTGGGGTCTGCCCACATTAGTAAGGCTGTACAAAGCTGACCAGAGGCTGGCAAAAGCTACAGTAGCAGCTTCAAGGCAGCTTTGCTGGAAAACAAATTATGTGGGAATTGAATGGGCAGTCCTGGGGTTTTGTCTGCGGATGGATGTCAGCCTGTGCAGCATGGAGGTCTGCCCCATTAAAGCCTCACATAAATACCAATCTAGTCTGGAAATACTAATGCAATCTAAGGAGAATGTTTTTAAAACAACAAAGCAAGTTGTTTCTCTATAAATAAAATATAGCATAACTAGCTTCAGTTAGATAATAAAACCATTATTCTTCCACACAATTAAAATGTCATTATAAGGGGGAACATAGCATTAAGCTTTTTGAAGGTACTTAGGAATAACTTATCACAGAGGAATCACAGCCTGTGGCAAAAAGAAAGTGCCTGCTTATTCCCTCCACTGCTCTAACAGAGGGATGAGATCAGGACCTGAAGAGGAAATACAAATATGTTTCTTCTAGGATCCTCACTTCCAGCATCAAAAGCAACTGGGAATAACAGGAAGGAAGAAGGGTAGAAAGGCACAGTTCTTGTCTGAAATACCTTCCTCCAGGTGGATGTTTGGTGCACAGGCAGCTGTGATGTTGGTTTCAGCATCTAAATAAGCTGGCTGGATATGAAGAAACTCATTAAGGAAGAAGGGATTGAGAGGTTCAGGTGACTCTTCCTGCTACTTGAATAAAGACCATTTCCTTCCAGACAGCACATTCCTCCCTAGCGTTGGAAAGGTTATCTGTGCAAGGGCAAAGTCTCTCCATACAAACAGGTTGGTGTACATACATATACATACGTCTTCCCCTAAGGAACAGGCATGCTGGCTCGTGCAATGGGGCGAATTGGGTTTTGTTGGCTTCTGGCAAAAATGAAAAAATACAGTTGTGACTTGATCCACAGGGCGTCAGGTACTGGGAAAGCAATCTAAATCAGCACTTCTTTTTTGTGAACGATATGTAATGTGGTGAAAGGTATTCTTAGTTTTTTCTATTAATCCTCTCAGCATCTTGTCCTTATGTGTTCTTGGCATTGATAGGACTTGAAGTCAACTCTTTTGTTGCCCTGGATTGAATTTGTATTTTTTCAAATATTAGAAAACATTTTCTTCCACCCTTTCTTTCCCCCTAGACAGTAGAAGGCTTGGGGGAAACAATACAAGAAGAATTTGCCATGATAGCAATCAAGTAAAACTATAAAATTGAATAAAATAGAATAGAATAAAATAGAATAAAAATAAAATAAGGAGTCAGACTTGTAACTCACTGACAGCAATACCAGCCTCAGCATTTTTAAGGGCACCAGATACCAAACCAGTATTACTGTCCCTCTAATCTCACTTTTGCTCTGACCACAGCTCACAGCTGTAACTGCTGGCCATCTTTCATAGATGCAACTGTGATAGTGACTGAGCAGCAAATGTTCAATAATACAGAGCTAAAGCTTTTCTTCTGGTGAAAGATCGAGCTCAGTGAAACAAACCTTTGAAAATCAGGCAAGAGAATCTGATGTACATTTTCTGAACAGGCTGAGTCTGCGTTGTTCTTTACCTTTTTTTGAGCAGCCTCTTCCTGCGCTGTTCTTTCCTTGTCCTGTTAGCAAAGAAGTCATTTCTAGCAGTCTGAAGGCTTTTCCACTGACATGAGCTGCAAGTACCTGATGACTGAGATAAACTTCTTAGAAGGCAGAAGTGATTAAATATTAAGTGACCCATTTTCCCTGAAAACATGGAGCAGCCTGTGCAGTACAGCATGGGTAGAGCCAGAGATGAATGCCAATGTCTTTCAACTCCAGTGTTTTTGCTATCATCACCTCCATGAAGAACTTTCAGTTCGATGCAACTGTATTTCACGCAAGTTTAACCTCACACATTTACACGTGACAGCACATAACAGTACCAGCCATTTTGTAGTTAAACAGGGTCCTCTCCCCCAAAATTGAGATCCACACACACACCGTTGGAGAAAGGCATTAGCAGACAGAGCTGCTTCAGCATGAGCCTTCTCAGACTGTATCTTCATTCCTCAATGGAAGATGTTAAAAGCAGGGCAGGAACATCCCTACAAGCAAGGCCAAGTCTCAGTCTTTGCTAAAGCAGGCAGTTCGTTTGAGGGGGTATAAGAAATGATCATAAAAATGGCACCCTGCAGCACATTTGTCTCCCCATCACTTAGTTGTGTGCCTGGAAACAGTCCTGGGTTTGGTGGGACCAGCTGCAACACCGCTGTGCTGTGCTCTGTAAGGACACAAAGTTCCCCACAGGAGTTCTAAAAAAAAAAAAATAAAATAAATAAATTAAAAAATCAGGAAAAAAAAGTAATAAATGCTGATATAAAAGGAACCACGGACCAAACACTCAAAAAGCAGCTGCTTCTTGATAAAATGTAGTTGCATGCACAAAGGGAAACTGGAATTTTCCACTGACCTGAGTCTGGAAAAGGGCATTCCTCAGCCATCTGCACTCCCAGCATCCATATTCCCTGTCAGTACCAATTCTCTAAGAGAGAGAGAGAGAGGGAGAGAGAAGAGGCTGAGCTGGGAGCCAAAGGCACCCAGAGGAGGGCACAAACAGAACCAAAACTCATGAGAAGCCCTATGTAATTTTTTAATACAAATTTTGACCCTGGTACACAAACCAAAGCATTTTCTTTGAAGATTTCCAAAGCAGAATTCTGGTTTGATAAATGAGCATGTAAGAAGAAAATGCTGCCCATAAGACAATTTCTTGACAGAGAGCTTATATGTATTTTCTATTCATTTTCCTAAATAATTTAACCTCTCGTTTTCCTCCCAGCTTTAGCTATCGGCAGACTTTAATATTAATGCACATTTTACAGTCTCAAATTCTTTACAACCATTAGGCTGAATAGAAATCTCAAGTTTTGGAATCCTAATCCTTCCCAGTGTATTTTTTTGCCAGAGAAGGGACGGCTGTTGTGCATGGAGTGCTCCTGCACAAAGACCTCCTCCATGCTGAGGTGCTGCTTGGGTAAAAGCATACAGTGCTATGGAAGCTGCTGACACAATTATCAGTTGAAGGAGTTATTATTTTTTTTCCTAAGTAGTTTTGTTCTGTAAATGTAATTAACATAAAACCTTGGCAAACATGAAGATTTTGACAGCTGTATTCCCACTTTTAGCTGTTGATGGCAGCTTGCCCCAACCTTAGTAATAAAGAATATTCAGATTAGGATCTGTAATAGGGGTAAAAATAATCCCATTGCATTTCTCTACTGTGGGATGTAAATCAAGCAATTCTAGTGGTTTAATCATATTCTAAACCAGTTTTGCATTTAAGTTACAGTCAAATATCCTTGTTCAAACACAAAATCAGAGGCCTGAAATTAATCACACGTTAGCAGATTAGATACAGTACTGTATGGTACTTTGAACACTAACCAGTATAGACTTTGAGCTTGATGCTTTCAGGAATCAAACACGACCCTGCAGAAATGTGATATTGGATGAAACAACTACTCATTTCTGCTCTTTTTTTCTTCTTTCTCTGTTTTTATTCAGTGATGTACCTGAAAGATAGGTACATCAGGTAGGACCAAGTTTACGCAACATCTCCCCATTTCTGAAACAGGAAAAGGAAGTATGGATTAGAAGCAGCACTCCACAATTCTCTATCCTGTCCTCCCTTCAGCCAACACAAAGATTTCAGAGTATGAGAGAGGATCCATTACTCCTTACTACACCTCTCTCAGAGTAAATGAAGCTTGTTGTGAGAAGATCTAGCACACAGGATGCCAGCGAGACAGAAAAACAGCTGGGGACACTGGGCCATGAGTTTCCTGTCCGCAGTAGTAAAACTCATACAGATTATTTTTCCTGCTAATTTTAAGCAGAAAGTCAATTATATGCTATTTGAATTCCAACCACCTTCCACATTGCTTGCTGTATTTAGTTGTCTGCCACCTCTTTTATTTCCACACATGCTTCAAATAGAAACATTGATCAATTTTTACAGCCATTACACTTTGCTTATTTGTCTTTGGGAAAAATGACAAACCTGCTCTTTTGTCAGTTCATATTGACTGCCAGAAAAAAAAAACCAAGGGGTTTTGTATAAGAACTTTTCACTTGAAAATAAAATACCCACCTTCAATGACAGTACTTGATAGCCTTCATTTAATGAGCATTATGATCCAACAGGATTGAATGGTTTTAACAAGGTGATGAAGTCTTGGTGCACTCACAGCATCTTCTAGCAGTCAGACGTCTTTTATGCCACCTGCTGTAGTGGAAATGCAAAGTCACAGTCTGAAACAGCGACTGAACACCTGGTGGGAAGGCAGAGCCAATGCAGTGGAGCTCAGGTGCGTGCAATGTACCTGAGTGACCAGAAGGATGGAGCCAGGATCCAACCCTTCCCAGGTCACATTTAAGGGTTGGCAATAGAGATGAGGGCATCTTATTGGAGATTTCTGCCTCCTTGAGGCTTTCCAACAGAAAGCAGCTCTTTTCTTTCATTTCTTCACCTGGGGCTCCTGCATTTGGGCTCATTCTTATTTGCTGGAGCCTAAGACTTTGCTACCCTGCTATTATTGCAGTACCTTCTGTCCTAATATAGCATTACACCTGCTAATCCCGAAGGAAGCCTTGCTTTCTAATTCAAGTAGGACAACTGCAGTAGGGTTCAAAAATACATGTCTGACGTGATGAGAGAGAACAGGGACGTGATTGTATTTTAAAGATGGTGTTCACAATTACACTGAACAATGTCCCTTCAATATGGAAGACTATAAACTTGCTATACAGTCATTTCAAGTGTAGTTCTCTAAAAGAAAAGAACAAACAAAATAATTAGCTGCTGAGATACAGGCTCAGTAACAAATCTAAAGCCAGGCCTAACACCAAAACCCTTGACCCAGGGTGGTCAGCTTAGGGAACAAAAACACCACTTCTTGAACACAGTAATATTGAGAATGTGTAGAAGTACCAGTACTCCACACGAATGTGGGGGGAAACATTTGTTGCATTTTCAGAACTCTGGAAGTCTTCCTCTCAATTGCAAGACACGTTAATGACTAAAACTCACACGAGGGAACAATAGACATCCTTCTCCCATGCAAACAAGTCTTCACTTTTCCATAGGCCCCATCACGGGCAATTCTGCTAAGCGTCATGGACCCCCATTCCTGCATCATGACTGCCCCTGGTCCCAGCGCTCAGCAGCAGCCCTACCTGCATCTGTTTGGCTGAACAGGGTTTTGCTATCACTTCCTTGGGGCTTCAGGTAAAGTACGTGAGGAGAAAAGATCATTTGTTAAAGCAAGTAAAGTAACAGGTGAAATTCAACAGAATCCACACGGTGCGGTATTTGAAATATCCAGTGTTTCTTTCTGCCTATAAGTTTTTAACTTCTTCCAGAGCTGCTGAGCAGCGGTTCCTGCACAAATCGCTGCAGCTGTGATAGAGGCAGCTGTCACATGGGCAGGGTGAGAATGCCTCCTGCAGGATGAGGTTACCCAGCTGATGTGTGAAAACCAGCAAAGAGAGCTGACACCATAGCACCTTCAGTGCCAGATGCTACTGCCTTTATATTGCCTCCAGATCTGCAGTTTTAAGTGAAAAGGGTGAAAAAATAGCAAGTTCTGATTGCTCTTGCAGGTTACTGTAGCTGTAATTCTGTCTATAGCCACATAATGCATTAGGAAACACAATTCCACAATGAGCCAGAGCCAGCTGATTGTAGGCTGTTTTGAAGAACACAACGTGATTGTCCCAGCACAGTAATTCAGTAGATAGAAACAAACACTGCTGGACAACTTAGAAAAACATGTTTTCTATTTATTTAAAAATAAGTTTGTAGTTACTACATTGCAGTGACAGTAATTCTTACACATACATTCTAGTTTGTATAAAAGGATTCAAAGTATTATGCATCAAAACTAACATAGAAAGTGTCCACATAACAGTAAAGAAATTTCCAATCCTTATGTACAAAAAGAAAGGGCACTGTTATCCTGGTGAGATACTTCAGGTTATAACATGATAATCCAGAGTTCTGGAAGGAAAAGAAAAACACAACCAAACCCCTCGATAAAGCTAAGGAATTGTAGTTTTTAAAACTGTTACTCATTACATACAACAGATGTGTTTTACATAATTCTGTACAAAATAAGTGTAATTTTTTTTAATCTGAAAATGTGTCAGTTTCAAAATTAACCTTTCTCGGTAATTTCCTTAAAGTTGAGCTCAATTCTATACATATTTAAACATTATGACAGAATTTAATTCACTTGTGATCATTATCCAGTTGTCTGCCAGTTCTGCAGTTTTAGTATGGTCCAAAAATGTAACTTCTGTATGGTCTCAATGCACCAAACCAACGCACGCAGTTGTAAGCACAGAACAGTACATGTACATCGCACAGGCACGTGTACACGCCAGGTACTTGGATTTCTTTCTGCTCCTAATTTTTACGACCTCGTTCTTCTTTTGGGATAGAAATTGATAGCACAATACTACCTTCCCTCTCTAAAATGTGTGATTCGCATTTGAAGTGAATTTCCTGATGTATTTATCTGCATTAAAAAGGATTCGAATGACTACTTGTCTCACTACCTCACCCCTAAAAGCTAAATGGTGGGAATAGCACTAATCTCCTTGATCTGCAGTTTAAGAAGCCTTTTAAACCAGCCCTCTTGGGGCGTTTCCTCCTCTAGCAGGTTGTAAAATAACATGGCAAATTCCCACATAAGAATTAGCACAAGCCACAGTGCCTTGTGGTTAGCTGTAGTTCACCAGGCTACCTGCTATTTCCCCCAGACATAGTAGCAAGTGTACAAGCCTATTCCTGCCTCAAAAATAGGAAATCACATCAACCATCGTTACCAGATTTGTTATTGGAAACACATTGTCAGCTTCGGCCAAACTTATGGAATTGGATACACTTCATTCTGCATACGAACAAGCATTTATATACAATAATTTACAGCAGAAAACAAACAGCCCTTCTATCAGTTGAATGCCTAAGTCCCCTTGGAAACCAATCTGTTACAATGACTTTGGGGAAAAAAAAGAAAACATGTAGGAATCTGTAAACAGAAAATGAGCTTTTGCTGTCTCTAGGTGATGTCTGAAAGCCCTCCACCACCACAGCCTCATAGCACTGCTGCACAGATGCACTAATATTTTTTTTTAAAACATACAGCTGTATTTAAAAAGAAATGACAGAAACCTTTGAGTAACTGTGGTGGACAAAAGACACTACCTTAGAATAAGGCAAGGACTTGGGACACAATGCAATTACTATGATACATCTGTATCTCAACTGACCAGCAGCAGGCTATAATTACCTCTGCAAGATTCGCACAAATTAAATGCAAATGTTGATGAAAGTGAGCTTGAAGTCCTCCAACCTCCCACACAGCGTTTAAGCACAGGGGGAAAGGTCTCCAGTTAAGTGTACTGCTTTTATAGAACCAGCCAACCACTTAATGTGTGCCTAGATTGACATTCCACATGAAAGCATGTACCTTTAGACCTCAGTCCAACAAAGGTGAGCAAAAGATTTAACAACATGGTGCAGAAATTCTAACAAGCTCAAAGTTACCAAACAGACACACTGTTGTTTTGTTGTGTCTTGTCTCTGTTTCTATTTGGTAAGGCAAAAGCCTCTGGCACAGAATCAGAATTGGTACTCAAATATTTGTACAGCAATACAGTGAGTAATTTGTCTCTACACTACAATTTATTTTTTTTTAATAGATATTATATATCCTACGTGCTGCATCAGGGTCCTTTATCAATTAATAGTTTTACAAATATTAAGTCATAGAAATATTCAACTCAACCAACTCAATCTTACAAGTCTACCCACAAACTGATCACACGTACAAACAGACACTGTACAAAGAAACATATGCAAATATATCACAGGGCAGTCCAACCACTGGAGGAAGACATTTTTCTGTAGAGTCGTACCACTGTCATTGCTGAGTGACAATGAACTCCAGTCACTACTGACATCAACGATCAATATACCAGTAAGATTTAAGTTCAGTTCCTGGATAACACGTTAACAACAGAAAACAAAGTGGCAGAGGAGTTGTTAAATATGTAGGCACGAGTACAGTGATTTCTGTTAAACATTTAAAGCACTGGTATCACAGAAACAGAAATTACTTCCTCATCCGCAGTCAAAAAACACACTGCTATTAAGATACCACTCAGTGGTCAATATCAATTGGAACGTTCCCCAGCATAGAGCAGAAATACCAGAACAGTATCTTCATATTCATGTAAGTATAAATGAATGGAACGAATGTAAGGGCGTTAATCGCTGCCAGGTCTGTAAGATCATTTGACCACATATGACTATAAACCTATGTAATATTTCAAATGCTGATGTGAAACGAGCACATGGGAATCTGATACTCTGTTTTCTGAGTTGTTAGGTACTTGGGATGGCATTACAGAACATGCATACGGCTGCAAGTTCTTCATTATCAGAACAGTGATCAACAGTTTATTGCTCACATTTAAATATTTAAAACTTGGCCATCTAAAGCTCCTTTTCTGTCTCGATACAGCTTCAAATAACACAATTTTTCCCAACCAAATGCAATCTGATGGTGACTAAAGTCTCAAGCAGTTTGCAACCTATTGAAACTAAATGATAAAAATAAACCTTTTAAATCTGATATTCACTTCCAATTGTGTGTGTGTGTGTGTGAGTGTGTGTGTGTGTGAGTGTGTGTGTGTTCAAAGTTACCCAACTGATGCACAATTGATTTTAGAAGTTTTGAAAAAAAATGATTTATCTAATATGAATTTCACAATATTGCCTAAGTCACCACTGTCACTGGGTGGGAAGAGTAGCCCTGTTCTGCAGATAAGGCCTTCTATTCTCATAAAGTGAAGATGGATAATTTTCTACCTAGTGTTAAAGGGAACAGATACTATTTAAGTCTCCAAAACTTACATACAGGGTATTTCTGATATATAAATATATACATAAACATGCCATATAAAACATTATTACAAATGGAGTAAATACAGAAGTTGAATTTTAGATATAATCTATCTCGTATATTACAATGCAGATAACATCAGGAAATTACACGTTTTCAAATGATTGCCTTCATCAGTGAGAACTGACAAAATCAACAGGTGAAAGCAATTAGCTCTGAATTATGAAGCTGTGCTGTAACTGAACAGCCACAGTTCATCTTACCACATGATCAGTGATGCCATTGTAATTGAATAATACAGACATGTTTCTTAAAAAATAGATATAGAACAACAAATGAAATGCAAATTGATCCCTGTTCCCCAAATTCATAATCACAACAATTCAAAGAGGATCTGGAAGAATATTATAGTCTTTTTTTTTTTTTTTTTGTAACAAAATGACTGATGAAATTACATTAAACTAAGCACGATGGATACCAGTTTGACACTTACAATAGCATATTTCCATTCCTCTTTGTGCCAGATATCAGTATTCTTTGCTTAAATATTGATGCTTTCTTGTAACAGAAAATAAAGAGTGAGGAATTAGGCCCCAAATGCGTACACAGAATCTGTGCAAAATTAAAGGTTTTAATTCTGTATGCCCTCCCGGATGCTGTCAATGTTGTTTGCTAAAGAAAAGTACTACTAATAAAAAGAATCATTATAAAGTAAGGGTGTACGGAACTGAGGTTTCACGTCAGGTTTATTTCTTGAGCTAAGTTAGGGTCACACAGAAATCTGTCACACCACCCAAAGGTCCAAAATAATGCATCGTCAGAAAAATTTGGTTACATTTTTGTACCATACCAGATTTGAGAAAATAGGACTACTTCCGTATTTGTTCCTTAACACTGGACAACATTTGCTTTGAAGTGATAGAAAATGGTATTAAAGTTTGTTTGTAAAGGTATAAAATAACTAAATGTACCATAAACAAATAAATAACTGCTCTTCTTTTCCATAGCAGTACATATAACAATACATTCCCCTAAGTCATATAGTTATCATTTACAATAGACAACTTAATTTTACTAAGGATGCAAGAAATAATAGAATACAAGGCACAATCATTAAATGGAATTTTTCTTTAGGGTGAATATTGACGTATGTCAGCGTGATATACCATAAAAAGTGCAGAAAAACGCAATGTGCAATGAGACCACTGTATAAAACATGATTGCATAAAAAGTGATTTGGCCTTTTTAACCTTAATAATTGAAAATAACCAATCTTCCCCTTAAAATTAAACTATAAAGTATGACATTTTAAAATTTATTTTCAATTCTAGTGCTATCTAAAAAATCCTGAAAAAAATTTATACCTGGGAAATATTTTATACGTATGTGTTTATGTATATATTAATATATACACATACACTCTTCTTTGTAGGTCATTTTAGCCTCTTAAGCACGTCTCAAGTCGTAGAAACAACAATCAATCTGGATCTGAAAGTAAACATCGTAATTCCATACCTGTCCTGTAATTTCCTTGAATCCTTTAACCAATTGTACATGTTGTCTAAAACATCTCTGTCAAAGGACCCCACCAGTGCATTATTTTCTACCAAAAGTACCAAAAAGGATACAGTTCAGAACAATGTTAACAACTTACTATTTAAAACAATACACAGCTTTTTCACTGCAAGTTGTATGCTGTACTGACACTCAAAAAGAAAAAAAAAGGCTTTCCACTGCACTGATTCTCAGTCTTTGGCACAATAAACAGAGATTTAGTGATTGATACAAGAATCAAGGTCTGAAAAATTAGACATTAGTCAAACTTTTTCCAATGTGGATATATATATATATATATATTTGTGATTACATTTTTGCTATGTTTGGCAGAACTTGGATAAACCAACAGCCTGTGGTAGGCTTCTTTTGCAGTTGAATGTTCCAACACTACTGAAATCAAGCATTTTCAGATTAGCAAAGTTTGGTATTTTTGTATTCGTACTTAATAGAAATGCAAGTGAATTTACTGCCACTTTTTGTGAAGATCTGCCTTCCTAGGCAACCTAACTTTACAATCAGAGTGTACTTTGCTTGGTCAAAAATAGATTTCTGTTTTCAGTTTGTGGCATTAGAAGTTCCGTCACCTTTTTTAACTGTGTAGAGTACTACACACCACTCGAGTGGAATAGTTCTCAACTCTGTATGTCAGCTGGAAACTGTTTTAATTATTCTCAACTATGAACAAAATGACTGTTGAAATGCATAACCTATTTGAAGGGCAATAAATAGCAAAAGTTTAAAATATATATTTCTTTCAAAGAACGTTCTTTCAGTTTGTTTTTTTTGCTAGATCTTTCTCCCAAATCAGAACATATTCTTCTAGCCCATAATAGCAGCAGGGAAGCAGAAGTCTGTTCTGCTGTTCCTTAACTGTACCTGCTTCATAGCATTCTGAAGTAAAACACCTGGTAAAAGTTACCAACCAATTAAATTAGCTTTTGCTTTTTCAGTCAACTTTCGGACTCTGCCTCTGCTAGAAGTTCCAAAAGTTAAGGAGGTGTCTTCAAACAATAGCTGCCTTTGCTCTTCCTCAGAGTCATCTTCATTGTAAAAGGCTGTCCTCCTACCCTGGTTTCTAGTTCTCATGTGAGGTTCAGAATCTTTAAGCTCCTCAGACCCTTCTTCCATAGGCTCATCTATCTTTTTCCTCCTGCTTCTTGTTTGCATTTTAACATTTGCAGGAACTAAAAGGTCCGAGCCTGACGGATGTGTCTTTATCTTTCTTTTTGGCTTTCTACCCCCACGGCCTTTTTTTTGTACCAAGTCTTCCTTCATATTATTTTCAGAAAGCGAATTGCATGCAGTAGAAGCAGAGGCTTCTTCTGGTACATCCTTTGTGGTCTGGACTGTATTCTGCTCTGCAACCTTTTGCTGATCAACAATTTGCAGCTTTTTTGGTTTTCTGCCTCTTTTCTTGTGCACCACTTCACAAGTACTGTTATTAGCCTCAATCTTCGGTTTCCGTCCAGGGCCTCTTTTAACTGGAGGCTTTGAAGGCTGCCCTCCGTGTCCATTTACCTGAATGCTTCCTGATGCCAAAGCATTATTCTTGCAATCTGCTGTAAAGAACAAAATGAAACAAAAGATGAGAGTATGGATGATGCAACAGATTTGCATTTACATTTACTTTCTCACTACTTTAATAAAGCTCTTAGTAAGATTTTTTGAATGGATTCAAAGTAATTATCAAACCCAAGTATAACTCAAGAGTTTCATATCAGTAGGCAACAATGACCAATTTCTAGCTGGTCTTAGCTCAAGGTAGCTTGAGACAAAAAAAAAGGGAGAAAAAATACAGAACAAAAAGAACAGAAGAACAGGCGTGGTCTTTTTCTTGGCTGATGCAAAAGAAGTGACCAAAAATTTATACTTGTTATTTATAACAGCAAAAAGTTGCTCATAAAGCACTGTTGCAAGGATATGGAATATCTCACAGCAGGTCATCTCTAGATAAATGCAAGATCCTTGCAGCCCAAGGTATCATCTTTTGTAGTGATTTCATTAGACTAAGCTTATTTCAATAATAAGTGAGGATAAGGTTAGAAATGTGTGAGACAAAAAAACAACAACAAATCATGCAATTTGCAAAGACATCTCATCAGACAAATGTCAGAAGGAGACATTTGGAGAACTGTATGAACTATGAGGCTTTCTCAGCTGAGTGGTACCGAACCTGGTCATGCCACAGGACCTCTTACAGAGGTGCCCTCATACCAGAGCCCTTGCTTAAAACATGACCAAGAGCAGATTCATAGTATGATGCACCCACTCCTTTGACTGAACAACCATGCACAGGTTCTGCAGTGTTCAAGTACACTCCATAAAGCACTAGTAACACAGGGCTCCATTTTCATGAATGGTTGTGCCACAGACACCTGGATTTTATGTGACCAATCCTCCGGTCACGTAACAGGTACATGTTCTGCCATGCAATATGGTAATAACTGAGGCCCTTGTGAGAAAGAATGGCAAGGAACAGGACAGGCTATTTAAGTTATCAGACCACAGGTTGCTCATTTGGAAAGAACAAACAATCCTCAGAGAGAAGAGGATGACAGGCAGTAATCAAAGTAGGTGAGGTCCAATTTGCAGACTACTAGTTTTCCTGAAGATGCAGAAAGAAATGCTCAGCAGATCTATCTGCTTTGGTAACAGCTTAACATTTCAAAGCTTCTTCATAAGCAGGACAGCTTTTATGTTAGGGAGATTAATTTCAGTCTCCACAGAAACTTTGGGCTTGAACATATCCAGGCATGAAAAGACCAAGCAAGTTCAGCCAGAAGATTACATGAAACTAAGTCCAATCAACTCATATGCTCAACAGAGAGCAAAGGCTGCATAGTCCTGTCTTGCTGTGACCCAAGAAAAAAAAAGCAGCAGGAATGCTATCACATTTATGCTTATTGCAATGGAGACCAACAGCATCCCTCTTGAAATAACTTAAAAGCAGGTAATGATAATTTAACATATCAAAATTGGCTAGACAACCATGGAAACGATTGGTGCTGTGAGCAATCAAAATCACGTTAATTGTCAAGAAGAAAACTGTGATCAAATTATTCCATTAGACTTCCTTATTATGCAAAATCATAACATATATTAATTATTCTACTTATAAAGTTTGAAGTGCAACTATAGCCACTAAATGAGCAAGAAAGTGTATGTGGGGACAGGAAGTGTTCCAAAGAAACTTTGTACCTTGTTGATTAACAGCAGAGGATTTTACTTTGCGTTTGATTGGCTTCTCTTTCTCAGGATTTTCTTTTGTGGAGTTATTCCTAGTGTTATGACTGTTATCAGATTGGCTAGAGACTGGTAAAATATTCTGGTTCTTGGAATGTTTGGTTGAATTCTCCAGTACTAGAAGGATAAAAAGAAAAGGATAAAAAGAAAAGAAACATATTTATGAAGAGTACTTGATACCACGTTCAATCTTATCCGGCTAAAAAGTAATCACATATCCTACTACAAGAACGCAATTCGAATTGTGATCTAGGAGTGAAAAATGTTTTCTGGATTAAATAACATACCTTAACCTGTTCAATTTTTCACTGATGAACCTCAAGGCTTGAAAACAACACCAGTCTTAACTGAGACAAACACATCTGATTTTCCAAAAAGCAGCATTTATGTTTAGAAATATTCTCCACATAAAAAAAAAGCTAGCAGGAAAAGTAACTCCAGCAACTCACCTGACTTTCCTGACCCTGCAGTAGTATTAGGTTTTGTAATTAAAGGCTTTATTGTTAAAGGCTTTCCTCCCGAAGATGTAGATGGTTGCTCTGTAGAAGCCACATCTGTTGTCCCCCTATTGCTTCTAGTCCTTACAAGAGAAGAGGTTTCAGCTGCTTTTCCATTCATCTGAGGCGGAGCATGTCTCAGTGTTGTTGATCGCACAGGTATAGAAGATGAAGAGGCAGAAGGTTCTCCCTTCAGCTGAGGTTTTATTAATCTCCTTTTCCTTTCAGGACTGCAAAAGAAGTAAGAATTTGAAACCTGGATGACCACTGTGACATTGTGCAGGAATACATAAAAATAAATACTAGTGTCTGAGGCCACAGGAGAAATACCATCAATCATCTCTGTATCAAGTATGTTACAAATATGACATTTTATGAAGAAATTTCTGTATTTGTAAGCCTCTAAAAAGTAAATGTTTAATAAAGGATCACAATACATGCGAGTATGACAAAATACGAAGCTATCACTGCCCTCAAAATACTGATTTACTGTACATGTTCAGCACTTACACTAGGATAGCTCTAGTTAAAGGTTTAAAACCTCCCACACCATAGCAACTTGCATTTCAAAGCTGTCATTTTGCAACACAGGCAAAACTAAAGGAAGTATTAAGAAACCACCGCACTAAATTCCACTCTTTAGGTACATCAAACATGCACTGCTTTTCACAAATACTGCAAAGAAATGAACATACCTCGATGCAACGCTACTGGAAACTGAGCTGCTTCTGCTTCTTTTTTTCCTTCGTCTCTTTATTGTATTTCTTTTATGAAAGCGCAGGGCAGATTTATAATCTGATAAAATAGAACTTATATGTTCTTCAAAGAAAGCAGAAAGGCGCAAACTCATGCTGTAGATCTAAAAAAGAAAAAAGGCAGTAAATGAGCAAGTTTTCTACTCTTCCAAAGCATCCGTTTATATATCTATCGCAGTGCAATAGCTAGAAAAGGGTACAGACTAATACGGAAATGTTCTAAAGAAATATACAGTTTCTTGCAACACATTGACACTCATCCAGTTTGCACTAACTGTTCTCAGTTTGAAAAGTATATCATGACTGAAGATCACACACAAGCAAAAGGAAGATATGGAAAAGCCACATTTCCAGCTGTCACTTTCCAACTGCATTTCTAGAATGTGTTCCTTTCCATATTGTTCTCAGCTGAACACGAGCCAGCAGTGTGCGCAGGTGGCCAAGAAGGCCAATGGCATCCTAGCTTGCATCAGGAACACTGTTGCCAGCAGGAACAGGCAGTGATTGTCCCCTGTACTCAGCTCTGGTGAGGCCGCACCTTGAGTACTGTGTCCAGTTTTGGGCCCCTTGCTGCAAGAAAGATATTGAGGCCCTGGAACGTGTTCAAAGGAGGGCAACAAAGCTGGTGAGGGGTCTGGAGCACAGGGCTTATGAGGAGCGGCTGAAGGAGCTGGGAATGTTCAGCCTGGAGAAGAGGAGGCTCAGGGGAGACCTCATTGCTCTCTATAACTTCCTGAAGGGAGGCTGTAGTGAGCTGGGGGTCGGCCTCTTCTCTCATGTAACTGGTGATAGAAGCAGAGGGAATGGCTTCAAGCTGCGCCAGGGGAGATTTAGGCTGGACGTTAGGAAATACTGCTTTTCTGAAAGAGTGGTCAGGCACTGGAATGGGCTGCCCAGGGAGGTGGTGGAGTCACCGACCTTGGAGGTGTTCAAGGAATGTTTGGCTTTTGTGTTGAGGGACATGGTTTAGTGAGAACTATTGGTGATAGGTGGATGGTTGGACTGGATGATCTTGAAGGCCTTTTCCAACCTTGGTGATTCTGTGATATTATGAAGAAACAATTGAGAAAGACCCCTCATGGAATTTACTTGGTCATACACAGGATCAAGAAAACAAATTTTCTTCTGCATTATGTTGCACCCATACATCCTAAATTTGAGCACCACTTTATTCCTTTTAGTACTACTAATTAGTACTACTGCTGAGTTGGTTGCAGTAACTATGATAAATGAACTATGTAAGCACACAACACACATTTTTCTTTCTTCTTTTCTTTCACCCCCCTCCCCTCCCGTTCCTGGATGGCTTACAGAGACACAATCCAATCAAACTTCACTTTAGATCATAACTAACTGATGGCACACAGTTGCTATTAATTCTGAAAACAGAAATTCATAAATGAACTGACTAGATGCTTTAAGAAGGGACACAGAAAGGTCTCGAAATACGAAATATAACAACAGTATTGCAATAGTTGCCTATCCCATGACATACTGAATAATTTGAGTGCCAGACTAAATAGTGGAAGTGACAGATACTGAGAGCATTTCTGGTGAGGACATCCAAAGAAAATGTGTAAAAATACATGAAAATATGTAAAATTAGATACAAATGTATGTCTGATGTGCCAAGAAAAAAAATCCAATGGATTTTACATTTACTCTTCAAGAAAAGCATCAGTGATGCAGAGTAAGATACTAAAAATATCACTGAATTGTTAGAGTGAGAATAAAAACAGTGCCATTCCTATACACAGAAGCACATAGATTCCAGAATAAAAAAAATGCCTAACCACAAAACACTCCACTTTTCTTCTACGTAAAGTAAAAAAGCTTAATTCACTGACCCAATCTGTTTGGAAGAACATGGAAAAGAATATAACAATGTCAGAAGAAACAATGAAACCACACTGGAGTTTAAACAACAGCTAGAATTCTTCTATCTTGGTTTTAGCAGATAAAGTAAAATCATGACAGAATCTAGATCTACCCCAAAAGCTTTGCTCTTTGATACAACGACAGGAGAAGGGATTGATTTTTTCAGTCAGCTCAAACTGTGAGTGGGACTGCTACTGACTGAAAAGAGAACAATCACTGATAAAGTCTTGCTAAGAACCCCCATTAAGACATTTGTTCATGCACTTTATGATGATAAAGTCCTAATGATTAATATGCTGCTTAAAAGTCAGTCGTGAAAACTAGCAAAGACATCAAAGCATATTACCAGAAGAAAAGCTACACAGTATGCTTGGACATGCTTAGGTAGCCTTCAACAAAAGCCACATTTGTACCTTTCACCTCCAACAGATAATGCACCTATGAGCGAATTTGAGAGAAAATGTTAAGAACTCTACCAGTAGAAAGGTATTTCAGTACCAGCTTAGTAACAGCAGCTTTGTAGGCTCAATTTTGTGCAAGATTTTTGGGAAACAGAACTGTTTAAGTGCCTCTTCACTATCTCACCACATCCTAGTGAACATTAGAATTCTGTTGTTGTGATATTTTCAGTTTTGGACAACTTCATAAGTGGAGGAAGTTGGGGGTACATATATGTTCAGATCTACATGCACAAAGAAAATCCTGTTTCTTCTCCAAAATACCAGTTACACTCTACTACTGTACATACAGTCACCATCTGTGTGTACACCATTTCTACCATCTTTCCTTCAGCACAGATCTCCTTCCAGATCCACTTGGAAATATTTTGAAACAAACTTGCAGAATATCAGAAGTACAGACACTTAAACAGCAAACTTTCTTTCAAAATACAAGGTTGCACTACCTTCTCAGAAATATTCATGTTTGAAAATCAGAAATAATTGAACTGATTACTGCTTAAAAAAAAAAGTAATTTCTGATTTTCTGCCCTGTTAGATTTTTCTAAAACAATAAATATTCTTAAATAAATAAAATCTTACCCTTGATCTTTTACTTGGTGTGTAGGCCTTTGAATTGCTGAAAATTAGTCTCACATCTTTACACAACTCCATTGGTGACTCATAGTTACCAGCTTCCAGTGTTTCTCTAACAGTAGCAAAATCCATAGGTGTGTCAATAATATCTCTGTAATCCTGTTAAAAAACAGCGGAGTATTATAAATTTTTTTTCCAAGCCTCAATATATCATTTTGATTTGAATGAATTTGACACATCTACTAAAGTCTCATATTGTTTTCACATGCTAGCGTTAAAACACGCAGTTTGAGTATTTTAATCTGATGACAGTCAGTGCATTTCTGCTGAAACCTGAGCAGTCCCCCAGGTGGAGATCTGACAGTTTAAGGAAGTTAATACTGGAATAACAAAAACTGCACAGACCCTGTTCAAACCAATCATAGAATTTTTACTAGGCTACAGAAGAAACAAGAGAACGGTCATATGATAAGAAGTTCAAATACCCACAAGAAGTTAAGTTGAACCATCAGAACGTGCACAAGCAGTGCAAGTAACTCTGTAAAAAGCTAGGGAAGAGAGCATTTCATGCTCAAACCTAGTAAGGTGCTCCTTATCAGCTCATGCAAGAATCTGAATCACAACGGCTGGCTACCTGCAGTTAGCCATGGCACAAAGTTAAAGTTTCTTCAAAAATTATGGTGTACAGAGCACCAAAACTACAGTGAATTAATGTCCCCAGAGCATCAAGACCAACCTAACCACTGACTTCTGAAGAGAATCCTCTCTTTTTTTCTAATTGAGAAATGATTTATCCCAGAGATTCTTTAGAGAAGGAAGAAAGAGATCCAAGGCAACAGGACTTTTGTGTTAAAACATTCAGTTTTTACAACTGGCTGCTCAAAGCTATTTTCATTCCAACGAAATCATCCTGGCAGAAAGTTGTTATTGTTATTACAGTTAATATCTCACTACAGTGCTTCAAAAGGTACTTTTTCCACAACAGTCTTGATGACTGTGATATGAAAATTACTCTTAGTTTGTATACTTCTGAAATGAAAACAAAAAAATGTGCCGCAGTAATATGTGTCGCAACAAGCAACCAAAAATATTCACTTCATATGTGACCATTTTTCACCCAGGAAAGGATACAGGCATCTTAATCTCAAAAGCTGTGTACCTAATAACACAGCCATGTCTTTTAAGAGAGCAGAGATGCACGATTTATTTTGAAATTAAAGAGATAATAAACATTATTATGAAGCGACAATCAAGCACGGGTAGAAAAGCTCTGTCAATAACAGTGCCTGAAGTTTCAATTAACTGAGGTGAAAGAATGGTCACAGTTGAAAGAAACCTAACAACGGTATTATGATCAATCTTGCTGTTCTCAAACACTCACTGGATATTCAAGGAGATCCACCGGCTGCCGAAATGGTTCAGAGTCCTCACACTGAAAAATGAGATTCAGCAACTCCTGGCACTGTTTCTTCCATGACTGAATGTCGTATGACTGGGCCCTATTACGTAGCCGCCTCTTCGGCTGATGATCCTGAAATGACAATATTGTCTGCTATTTATTCAATAAACCATCTCTCTTTTTACAAAGTCAAATGTAAAGGGTACCCCTGCAGGACACAAATTCTAATTAATTATTTAGCAACATGCAACAGAATCACAGAACTGTAGCAGTTGGAAGGGACCTCCAGAGATCAGAGTCCAACCCAAACAGCCCATGCAGATATTCTTTTATACTGGACAACTCAGGAGAGTAACGCTTCAGTTACAATAAATTCAACACTTTCCAAAAGATGAGATTACATAATTAAAGACATACAATTTTAAATCCAATTTGTTTACAAAGACATTTCATATTATTTGATGCACTATAAGCAACAAAATATGATTTTACCTTTCTTTTTCTAGTGGAAGTCCCTGGCACATTTGTATCTTTCTCTTCTTCCTTTGAGCAAGATAATGAGTTGCATAAAAATGTTAAAAAAATATAAGCATAGATGAGTAGGTAAATTCTGTCATATTTCATCTCATAACTTGAGTCTTAACAATTCCATCCATGTCCCTCTAGAAAGCATTTCGTGTGACCATCAGTTTTGAGAATCTCTCAGTAGTCTAAGAAAAAGCTCTCTGCACTACAGGGAAGAGAGGAATCTGGATTTTTACCAGTTTCCCAGCTAACAAGAAACATCTAATTGGCAGTATACCCTACCCTATAACAGTGACTGAACAAAGTACTTTTGCATACAGCGAGAAAGATGCTTCAGTCTCATTTGTCCCATCCAGCAATGCCAACATTCGAGACACAACCACTTACCTCATCAGAGTCAGACAACACTTTCTTCTTCATTGCATTGTATAATAGAATTATGTCATAGCAACTCTGGTCTCTGTACAAGAAGAAATACATGCTAGTTTTATTTTCTGTCTTCATCTACGGAATCAACTGTATTTTGCATAGAGTACGGACAATATTTATTAAGTCATACTTAAATGAAGTGATGAAGTGTTTAGTGCCTTAGAAATACTTAGAGGACCACATTAATAAGAAAAGCTAATCTATAGTTCAAAAGCTGCAAAATATTTTTTATATTCCATAAAATACAGAATGCTTAACAGTGATATTTCAAAATGAAAAACCATAATCCCTTACCATGAGCTTATTAGCATTAGGAAAATCTACTATATCTCATAAAGGACTGTGGAGCCTATTCAGCTTTAAGAAACATTTAATATGTGTTTCTAGTTCACTTAAATGAGTATATTAATTGGCACAAGCTATAGACCATTATTAAATAAGAATAGTCATGCATTGCAGTAATTTAGGAAAGTCAATTAAAAACACACACTTTTAATAACACCAGTGTGCTTAATTAATCAAAAGAAAAGAAGCTATGTAGGATAAAGACATTAAAGAACTAAAATTATTAATAGCCTTTCTGGTGTGTATCTGTTCCTAAAGGTGGGTTTCACTAAAACTTTAACATCTGAAGCAGTTAAGTACTTTTCACTGTTTTTGCCAGTGTCTGATATCAAATCGCAGAGATTTATGTTGCGGTTACAGAAGTCTTAGATCTTCCAGTAAGTAATGTAATTCTAATGTTTTTAAAAGAAAATACTAACGCTGTGTTCGACTAATGAAGCATCTTGCCATTTAACCACGTAAAAGCAGATGCATTCACTGCCTACAAGCAAATCAGGACAGCGGGCATAATAAGCTCTAGCAAACTTTAGATTGCAGACAGTCACGAAAAAGGTTTGAGACTGTTTCTATTGACTGCAATGCCTCCAATTTTTATTTTGTACACCAACCATCACTTTCAGGCACATTCAGCTGTAAAGATTTTAGAATTAACTTCCCAGTTATACTAAGAAAAGTAGTAACAAAATTAAATTGTTTTGTAAACACAAACTTTCTTTTTTTCTTCCCTAGCAGCAGACAGCTGGCTTATTGAAGCTACAGAACCACCACTTTGTAATTTATATTTCAAAGAGCTAAGACCTTGGTAAGAAACTCACTTTATGAAGTGTAGCAGAAGATCTGTGACAAATTTGGCAGACTTGACAATAGGACTTCCAGGTTCATTAAATGTGCGAGTATTATGTTCTATGTATCGGACTTCCCACATTAATGAAGAAAGTCGTCTGTGCAAGAGAGATGAGTCAACATCATGGAAAAAAAACAAAACAGTATCAAATAGACTACATTTCTAACAATATTTTTTAAAAGAGGAGAAAAAGCCTCATATTCTTCTTCTAGTGTATTATTCTGTTCATTTTTTGACATTAAATTAGAAAACATATACGCTCACACACATTACCCTACATGACCAGCAGAAGGAAGCTTCCTCAGGCTTCTTGTCCTCCCATGTCCTGACATTATACTGACAGTTTGCAATCCTCAGAAAGATTCACTTGTAATGCTTTAGCTATTACTAATCTTTTATAATATAAGTAACCCAGCATATATCACTTCTTAAGTCACAGTTGAGAATTACCAAAACTGTAATGATGAAAACGTATTAAAAGTACACATCTTAATAAGTGGCAATGATCAGAATTCCTCACATAGGTCTGATTTAGTTCCCTGACTAAAGAATAGTCACAATATTGTGACTACATATACAAGTATGTATGTATGTATGTACAATGAAAGCAAAATAAGTGCGTGTGCGCGCTGTAGAAACATACTGGCATTATAAGACTCTTGTTTCAGAAAAGGAATAATGCCCTAAGGGCAGGCCTCACGAAAAGCTACTGAAGACATCAGAAGCAATCTGAACTGCCATTTCCCCACACATTAAAGGAAAATAATTCACTGGAATACACAAGGCAATAATAATTAGCTAACCAAGCCCAGACAATCCTACAAACTAGTAAAAACCAATTTAATGAAGAAGCTATGCCAGTGACCAAAAATAACTGATGATTTTGACAAAAGGAAACAAATCCAACTGACTGAAAACTCCTTGCCACTGCTGACGATGTGGCAGTATGTTAGAAAAGCCAAAGCTAGATCATCATGCAATTAACATGGAACCAGATGCATGTACATTATGGCATTATAAAATATAAAACCTAGGCATCCTTTAAAAAATGAAAATGTGATTTCCATTTAGAATACTATCTCCAGTCAGTACATGTGAAGTTCTATGAACTAACATTGAAATTTTGCCCAAATCAACATGCTGTGGAATCATAGAAATGTTTGAATTGAAAGGGACCCTTAAAGATCGGCTTGTCTGGCTCCCCTGCAATGAACAGAGATACCTACAGCTACACCAGGGTGCTCAGAGCCCTGTCCAGCCTGACCTTGGATGCCTCCAGAGATGGAGCATCCACCACCTCTCTGGGCAAGCTGCTTCAGAGCCTCACCACTCTTACTGTAAAAAAACTTTTTCCTTATATGCCATCTAAATCTCCTATCCTTTTAGCTCGGAACCATTTCCCCTTGTCCTGTTCAGATGAATTCAACAAAAGCATTAGAGGGAGACTCAATTGCAAACCATAAATTTTCCAAGACAAAAAAGCAAAAAGTAATGTTTTAAAGGAACGTGCACCTTAATGGATAATATTTTTACTGCATATAAAATACTATGATTGCAATCACAGTTTAGGGAAAATGTCAAAACCGCGTAAAAAAGGTTAAAAATTACTTTTGTTGCTGTCCAATCATTTAGAATTTCAGGGCCAACAATTGAATAAACTATGCTCTATTTCATGTCTTAACATGATAATGGAAGATTTAAAATCAAACAAACAGAAGTACATTATATACCTATAGAACACTTACAGGTGTCTAAGGTTTCTCCCATTAAAAAAATATCAGAAGCAAACCTAATTTACTTTGCAATACTCACATGACATAAACAAGAATTGACATCACATAATTGTAAACTGCATTTTGGTCAAGAGATGTTCAATCCCTTTAGAATAGAAGATTAGACAAACAAAAGCACACCTGTGCACATTTCTAAATTGGGTATAACAAGACTAACAGCTACCAAAACCACTGCTGGCAATATTTCACAGTAGTAACTGAGACTTGGATCTAACCTGTAAAATCTGCTTTCCAGTCTTTGTTTAATGGTACTCAGGTCTGTAGGATATGCCACAACAGTGCAATACATTGGGTAAGCTTGAAGATCCACAGGGGCCACAAAAGCAGATGCGATATCTACACAGAAATCAAAATCAATCCAAGTTACATATCACAAAAACAATTAGAGTTCCAAGAATTTCAAAGTTTCCTCCTGCAACACATGCTATTTTTTCATGCTTGAAACACATGGCATTTACCCAAAATCAACAGTAATAACCATGCTAGATACTCTGAACAATTCGTATTATTTTACACATAAGTTTGCTCACATGTATGCTGCTAGTACAAGTGCTGTATTGCATACCCATGCTATTATGCATGAAGCACCATGCTCTTCAGAGACACAGCAAGTGAATGCAAAATAAACACATTTGAAAAGTAAATTTAAACATATAAATTACACATATAAGAAGATCTGCAATTCAGAATTATTATTTACAAGACACATTCATTCCATTTAGTTTTATATTGCCACTCTCTCAACTTCAAACAAAACAACTCATTAAATTCTCACCATAAAAGCCATAGTAGTATTTTGATCTCATTAAGATATGGAGAAGAGCCATTCTCAATATAAAACAGAAATACAATTCTTCCGTCTTGACCAAATAGCAAAGAAGCTATTTCGTACCGATCCACCATAAAGCCAAAGAGCACTGGGCAATTTAAGTCTATGCACCTGGCACAAATTTTGCTTGTTTTTCCCCCCAACTATGCTTAAAGCATCATGTCTGCTTAGACATCATTCCAACATTTCAAACCAAGAAGGAAAATAAAAGAGAAAAGCAAATAACACCCTTAAAGTACCTGTCCAATGTTTTCAAAAAACAGAAACTCTCTTCTTGTAAAAGCTGTTAACTTTCTCTTGCAAACGTTTGAGCAACAGCTACTTTGGACCAATACACACCACGTATGCTATAGTTAAATCCCAAGCTTAGTAGTATGCCATACAAAAAATGAAAAATGTGAAACTATTTCTCTGATAAACATACACAGTGAAAACAATCAAAACTTCCTTTCCTCAAAATTTTTGAATATAATTCTGTAATTTGGATTAGTGCATTTACATATAGATTTTATTTCTTCTGGAAGCAAAAGGACGCTTCTTATAAAACCAAAGGAGTCGTAATGTAGGATACCCATGAGTCAGAAGTATTTCAAAAATTAATAGTTTTCTAGGATTTTTGAACATAAGTAATTCAAAATCAGAACTGTCTTTGGCAAGCTATATATATGTAATTTACTACCATTGTTACCCAAAGATCTGAGACTGCTGACTTGTCACAGAATATACAAAGATCTGTGATTCAGCCAGTATTTCACTGATATATCTCCAGCTCACACACTCATCCTTGACCATGAGAACGTCACAGTGATGTGTTTAGTGTTTTAACAATTACCTTTTCAAAAGCTGCCTTCTACTTCTAAAGAGTAATTGTTCTACATCCAAATAGCAAGTGGCTTTTCATAAGTTAATCAATTACTTTATCCTCAATATTTGCTTTTACAGAACTTCTCTTCTGTTTTTTTTTTCCAGACACAACTAAGGTTATGTGGGGGAGAAAAGTGGAGTTAAAAGAAGGCTAATACAGGAGAAACCTAGACAAAGGAATCTCTTCACTAAATATGTATGATTTTTTTTATATCTACCTGTAGTACAGTTAGTATTCTGTGCAACAGAAGGCTGGCACTTCTAAGCCTAATGCATAATTTGAGTAGCTAACAAAAAATCAAGTACTTGTTTTTACCATGCAAGACCCAACCCCCCTCAATGTCAAGTTAAAAAAAATAAATAAATGAATTACCTTTCAAAAGAAAGTTCAAGTTTTTGTATGTAATTCACTATATGGAAAATTTAATATGTGCAGTAATAAAGTTCTGTTCCATTTAATCAAATAGAAGGTGCATTATTATTATTAGCAACATTAGCAGTTACTAGTTTTCGTAATTTCAGAAGTACACATATCATAGGTACAAAACATAATACAAAAACACTTCCTGTAATATTCAAGCCATACCTAGAGTCATGAGTTGGTTTATGCCTGCAATAATTCTGTCACACTCCTGGTCTCGTGTCCTGGAGCCCCACTCTCCATCCAGAGGTTTATAGAGCAGTGTTCTACGCTCTTCATCTGTTAAAGGAACACTAGTTCCCAGTTCTTCTGGAAATACAGCTAGAATGTAACATGAAAATTCAATGAAATACTCATCTTTGTACCTTAGGAAATACATGAATCTACTCAACTAAGAAAAATTAATTCAAAATACAGATCATGATTCCACTAATCAAGACAAACATCAGTTTTGTATTAAAAACGTTTTGAGCAAATCATTCAGTATCCTTTCTATTGTTGTATTTTAAATTTAAATTTTTACAATGTAATTTGGTGTGCAAATCCTTTATTAAACTAGATTTACTGCCTTCCAAATAGCTAACTGCAGAATTTATTTTACAACCAATTTAGGGTAAACTTTTATCATAATTAAAGTTTGTTTGTTTCTTAAAACCTCAAATTCTTGGCAATGCAGCAGGATTTGTAGTGGATGATTTTCAGGCAGAGCTTAAGGTGTTTGATGTTAGAGACTGAAACAGTCTCCATGGAGGGATTCAACCACCGACGGATTCAACCCCATCAATTTTCTCAAGTCAAATACTACAAGCGCAACTTCTGAGCAAGCAAAATGAGGTGCCATCAGTCTGGCGTTCTTAATGATCTACCAACTTTGACAGCCCATAATGTAACAGGTGGATTTTCAGAGCACGATGCACACTGCTCTTCTTAAACTTCCTTTTGTTTGAAAAAAAGTTATAAGACAGCATTTGTGGATGCAGTGCGGATACAAATTCAGGTTCAGTTATCTGCTTGCTGTAGTTATTTACTCTGGTCATATTATCACTCTTGATTTTGACTTATTTATAAGAAGTACCAATTAAAAGAAGGGTTGAAATGAAATAAAAAGTGGAAATGAAACATGTACAACTTGGAAGAATGAAGAGTTACACATGGTTACTTGTGGATGACAAAATTAGCAAAAGTTTCCTGTAAAATAGAAGGAAAAAATGCTGATTTTGCTTTGCTTTTTAACCAGATTTTAATAAAATCATCAAAACATTTGAGTAAAGACGAAATGCAATATTCTGTTCTTGGCCTGTGAACAGTGCCCCTGCTGTACTGCCCACTCTGTTGCATGTTTATCTGCCACAAGTTCTGGATCAAACAGGCAGCAAAGCCTATTTCGAATGCTCTCAATGGCACATGTTGAGACTTCAATGCACAGAACACCTGCAAGTATGCCAAGAGTTCTGAGAATAGGCAGCTCAAAGCTGACATGGGGCACAGGCTTATCTTCAAAGATCTCTAAATGCACAAGTTAACTGCAACAGTACACTGCCTACTAGGATTTTTTGTAACACTCCTGGCTATTTCTACACACTTTGTTTAAGCCAGCTTTTTTCCTAAGGGAAAGGTGTCAGTCCATTTATTTTGGTCCATATTTAGTTTGGTAATTACCAGTGTTCTTTAAATGCACTCCTTAAGAGGTGAAATTGTACAACGTTTTTTACTTCTTTATATACACTCTTAAAGCAAATTGAGTTCTTAATGTACCATACCATTAGTTGGTATCAGCTCCATGTCCCAAGGACTCATCTTCTCAGTATCTCCATTATCCCAGCTTAAAAAATAACCACATTTAAATTACTAATATTGCTTAAAGTAATTTAATGTTTGTAACATAATTTATTTAGATTTAAAAGACTATTGTAATAAACTGGTACAGTGAGATGCATGACTGAATTTAATGAGAGGAAGTTGCTCAGTCAATACGTCAAACGAAATATTTAATTATAATAGATTGAAGATAAGTTTGCTAACCAGACATTGTAGCACTGAAATAAGCTATCGGGATAATCGGGCTGAAGGGGTTCCTGGCTTTCAATTGTTCCAAACCACCAGGCATCATCTATCACTGATCTGAAGCGGTCGCCTAGGTAAGAGCACAAAATAATTTCATCAATACAGGGCACCTTACTCCTATGAAGAAAATCAGTTTACAGATACCTTCAGCTTGATCTTGAATAGAGATCCCTTTAAATGCTTGCAGCATGAACAGAAATACGAATCACGTTATTTAAAGAAACAAATGGAAAAAACAATCACAATGAAACTCTTAAATTCTTTCTGAAGGTTACCTTTAAATCAAAATGAAGCAGTTAAGAATGGGCACAAATAAAAACAATCAACGGCTTACAAATACAATCCCATGACCCTTATATATGAATTTATTTCTTAATTTCATACAAAACTAGGACATTGCAATGTTGCACCTATAAGACTAAAATCTACTTGCATTAAATGCCACATGCTATCTTAAAATAACTACGCACTGACACATCCGTACAGGGAATACTTTTACATGCTGCTGAGCAAATTCTCCTTGGTTTCTGAAGTGCTTTTCAGCTATGTGTATAAACAATTTCCAACTGCAAATCAGAGGTTCATTTCCTTTATTCTGCAGGCAATCTGACTGATAGAATTTAATTTATTAAAGATTCCTCAAAAACTTTGCAGTCATTTATGATGACTTGAAATGGTTCACTATCGCAATGCAATTGTAGAGCTAAGCAAAAAGGTCAGAAGCATTACTTAAAGAATTACACATCAGAATATAAGGAACACACGTCATTGTAATTTTTAACACTTTCAATAAACATGCCACAGAAATTAGAAACAATTTTAGTGAAGCACTTACTTCACTCAATCCAAGAACAAAGATCATTTAAATTATCTGAGATTCCTAGAACTGTACACTCTTGCTTTCAAGAGATTTGAAAACTATGCACACTACTTTCTAACCTTCAGCAATGCTTTTCTCCTCCTCCAACAAACTCACATAAAGGAAATAGCCCACAACCTTTTGCTCAAATGCTTGCTGCAGTTGTCTGAATTATTAACAACTACATATATTCTCAAGACATTCTGCTGTCTTTGTTGCACTTTTTTTTTTTTTTAAATGGAATGCGAGTATACATATCAAATACAAAACTTCCATTCAGTGTGCTGAAAGTAACAGAACAAAGTAATTCATACCAGTAAAATCTGAAATGCAATATCCAAAACGAAAATAAGGGTTGATGCTGTATTCTATGGGCACAGAGTAGCCTGAAGAGATCTTACAGAACAGTCTCCCTACATGGCATTCCCCAGCCATCAGTTTTAGAAAGAGACATGAGTGGGTATGATTGTGAATTGTGAGATTGTGAGATTAAGCAGTTCAGAATCGCATAAAGGAATATATACCAGCTGTCTCTTCGCATATTTTCAAAAGCCACAGCATTCCTATGGACAGAATGCTAAGGTAAGAAGAGCACATAATTGAAAATGCTCACAGATGGATCCCTTCGACAATTATTTTGTGTGATCTCATCCGTGGGATAAGGAAGCTATCTATGAAGACATTAAATCAAAAATTCTTATTAAAAGAGGGATTTAATATAATTTTCCAAAATTGAATATCAGCAGATACTGTCAACTTGGTAGAATTATAAAATATATGCTAAACTTACAGTGGCTACTATCCAAGAGGTATGTATGCGTACCTGTCTTAGATGAATAGCACATGCTCAAGGAATCCCACCAGAATATGTTTTAGCTCAAATATGAGATGCAATAAATACATGCCTGAGTACGAAGAAAAACCTGTCACTCCTCAACCTTTATAAATGTGTTATCTTAAGGACTGATACACTTAAATCACAGGAACTCTTGGTATTAAAAAAATACAAATAATGTATATGAAAGAAATATTCTTCCTTTTCACCACCACCACAAAAAATCTCTATCATAACAAAAAAAACACATCCCACCACCTAGGATCATTATTGGTTAAGAAATAAAATATTTTAATGACTTAGAATGAAGCCAGAATATTTAATATTCGGTGATCCTTCTAACAGTAGCTATAAAAATATTCATCTGTAGGCTAAGAGACAGAAAACGTAGAGAAATAAGAAACGATGGTAATGGTAGTCCTGAGAGGTCAAACTAGCAACTGCTCAGAACGTTTTAATATTGTGTTCTACACTGCAACAAAATACTGCAGTGTTTGTTCTAACTACATTAAGTATGCACTTGGAAAATACCTATAGTGTCAAAAAGAGACCAGGGTTGCACTTCAGAAGACTCCTGGAAGAGCTGTAACAATTTTAGCATCAGTGCCCTTCCTAGCCCTGCTTTAGTGTTTCATATAGTCTCACAAAAGGAGACTATTTTAACACTATTCTTACCACCCAGAAAAGGAGCTGAACAATGAACCCTGAAACACAGTTGTCAGAGTTACGAACTGGTATTAACCAGTAACAACTTGAGACTTACATTATTTGCCCAGAAATCTTGACAAAAGATTCTGGAGCTTAGAAAAATACTTTTTGTGTAGTCATGAATCTTTCACGACTTCAGGTTTCTCAAAAAATAATTGTGAGCCTAGGGAGGAGATGCTACCTGTTCTCATAGCCTTGAGAGTAGAAAGGCTAACAGCTTAAATTCCCTCCACTACCTCTGGATTTGTCACTTATTTCTGTCTTGGCTGTATATATGAGACATGGCAGTCATTCTTTAACTACTGCCACAATCTTGTGGAAACACCTTTATAGAGTGGCAAAGGAGAAGGCCACAGATTAACACCTATCATACTAAAATGGTGACATTTTAGTAGGTGTTCACCAAGCTTGTTTCCTAAGGGATCTTCATACTATATTAATCTTTAATGAGGAAATGAAGTTATATTTTCCTAATGATTTAGAAGCTATGGGTTTTCACCATACTCCCTTAGATTTGAAGGCTAGCTGTCCTTTTGAAGAAGATCATAATGTGCGACAGGATATGGAACTTTATTAATATGGCATGACATAAGTTATATTTATATATGCTATTGGCTTTCTTGGCCCCCTGGGCACGCTTCTGGCGCATATTCAGCTGAACCAACCAGTCAACCAACATCCCCAGGTTCATTTCTTCCCACAGTCTTCTAGCCACAGATGGTCAAGAAGGCCAACGGCATCATGGCTTGTATCAGAAAGTGTTACCAAGGACATGATTGTCCCTCTGTACTCAGCTCTGGTGAGGCCACACCTCGAGTACTCTGTTCAGTTTTTGGCCCTCACTACAAGGAAGACATTGAGGCTCTGGAGCTTGTCCAGGGTAGAGCAACAAAGCTGCTGAGGGGACTGAATCACAAGTCTTACGAGGAGCAGATGAGGGAACTGGGATCGTTAAGCCTCCTCTCGTCCAGACTAAAAGGAGACCTTATCACTCTCTGCAACAACCTGAAAGGAGGTTGTGCTGAGGTGGGGGTCAATCTCTTCTCTCATGTAACTCACAACAGGACTAGAGGGAATGGCCTCAAGTTGTGACAGGGGAGATTCAGGTTGGATGTTCGGAGCATTTTTTTCTCAGGGAGTTGGTGGACTCACCATCCCTTGGAAATGCCCGAGAAATATTTAGGTGTTGTACTAAAAGGAAATATTGATGGAAGGTGGATGGTTGGACTGGATGATCTTGGGAGTCTTTTCTAACCTTCATGATTCTGTGATTCAGAATATTACTAATGCACGCACATACTCAACAAGGATGTCATAATTTACAAAGGACAGGATACCAATTCACCTCTCCTGGCAGAAAAATCAGATAAGAAACAATTAGAAAGAGCTTCTGACATCCAGCTGTTCCACTTGTTCAGGCTACTTAGCTACAATGAACTTAGCAGATGACATCAAAAAGGAAATAGTGAACTCAGAATAAAAATGAAGTGCATTTGCAGAAACATGTACCATACCAACTGTTACTGAACAGGCAATCAGATATACCATCATGCTGTTGCATTAAAATCTTCCCTTCATTTATATGATGCTTTGCCTGAAGTGGTAAATAAATAAATAAATGCCACCAAGTCAGCTTTGTATATGCTACATGCAGCTCCTGAACAGAAGAACTGCAGGAACTCAATCTGTATGCCAATCAGTGCTAGTTTACAAAAACTCAGAGTTAGTTTAATATTATAACTATATATATGTTGTCTTATAATTCTCAAAACATGGTATAAAACCAAATTTATCCCTTAGGGGAAGAGTTCATCCTGAACTCTGAAGAATCAGTCACACTTGCTCAATCTTTCAAGTTCAGGGACAATCTAAGAGTGTTCTTAGGAATAAGAACATGTTTATTTCATGACCTCCTGAAAGAAAACAGAGAAACATTTTGTCATAACGTAGCTCTCTCCTCTTGTTTGATTTCATTGTTAAAAGGTGATCTTTGCTGTTGCACAGAAAAGTTGACTAGGAAGTAGACCTGACTAGAGTTTAACAAACACTCCTCAGTATCCAACACTTTACCCAAACAAGTAAAAAGAGATAGGAAGGGTATTTTGTTTGAATAATCTAGAGATCATAAATTTAAAATGGTTGAAAAAGCATTTCTGTATTTCCAGAAATAAGCAGGTCTGAAAGAACTGAAAAAAAATATTCTAGTAATAGTTAGGTTGAAAGAGGGCCTTCAATCTGAAAAATAGAGAGAAAGGCAATGCATGCGATAAAAGATGTCAGTTACCAATAAATATTGTATTTCTGTGAAGGTATTCTTCATTCCTCCCTGTAAACACACAACTAAGATTTTCTTTGCACCTTCGTTCACAAATCAACTTCATTATTCTGTTTGCTTGCCTGTTGCTTCAGTCAAGGACAAAGTGAGACTCACATGCAAATATAGCCAGAGCTTATCCTCCAATTCCAGTATAATATAAGGATTTATTTACTACAACCTACCTTTAAATAAGTTATAATGAAAATATAGAGACGTGAAAACAATCAAATGAAAAGACCTAGAAACCCCACACAACTTACCTATATTCCATCGTCTATGTTTTGCATCATCAAATTGCTGCCTCAAAACTAGGAAGTCTATGACATCTGGCATGTCATGGTACCTAAATACAATAGAACACACAACTAATAAGTAATACAAAAAATATGAAATAAGGCACTTATGTAATAACTCAACACTTCGACTTCAAACCTTCAAAATCTACAGTTCTAATCACTGATTTTCAGAACAATCCAGAATTACAAAAAAAAAATGTTCCAATTTGAATATAACAATGCTTTTCTTACTTCATGGTGAATGATCCTCCAGTTAGTTTACCCGTATCAGGGTCAAGAAAAGCTAGTTTAAGACAGCAGAGAGTAGGCAATCCCACTTCATACTTAATCCCAACTATTTTCATCAATTCTTGCTCCTGGAATAAACAAAATGCTATGTTAGTTATCTTTAACTTCACTGGCGGTACAACTTTCTGAAACATGACAATATGAGCATACCAAAATTAGCAGATACTCAACAGCACATGTCAAAAAAACCAAGTATTTAATTCTGTATTGTTTGGAATATATTTTGCTATGAGATATAAGTAGAAGTAAAAATAAAATCAGACTAACTGAGTTTTGCTCAAATAATTCAGGGAAGAAATACAATTTAAGGTATGATTTAATTTGGCTTTTAGGTTAAATTTTTTCCCCTTACGTCTACCTTAAGAATCCAATATTAGGAACATCTGTGTCAGCAAACTTCTTCCAGATAGTCTCCAAAATTCTTATATTAAGATACCAAAGAAAAATGAAAAAGAAATCGTACCCGTAATTCCATTTTATGCCATGGTTGTTTTTTGGGATTAATACTATATATTTTGTTCTTCTTAGCCATTACTACATATGCTTCATGACCTTGTCGGAAATAGTAGACCTAAAAGGGAAATGAGACAGTTAGCTGACTAAGATTTTGAGTAATCTAAGTAATAAAGAATGCTAGTGTACTGCTGTCATAAAGCGTATGCACTCTCTCTTTTGTCAACTTCTTTTCTGCTTGTTTTTCCTGTAAAAGTCACAGGTACTTAAAGAAATTAAGAAGACAGACAAAGCAGGTATCATAAAAACTTTTCTGCTTAGAAAAGAGTAGGAAAGGATTTACACCACCATTTTCAATATGAGTAAAACATCCTAAATTACATGTGAGACCAGAACTACATCAACAGCAAAACCCAAACCATCCATTTATCATCACACTATAGCACAATTCCACAACAGTAAGAAATCCCACTAATCCACTTGCTTATTCAACACAAGACAGCCCTAAGATGACAGTCAAGTATCACTAAACGGAGTATATAGATAATTGCACCTTTTTTGAACAAGAAATACATTGGCTATTTTATTGGGAAGATCTTCACTTCCATACCACCAAATAAACAACCTAACATAAACAAAAATAAGTTTTTTAAGCACTTATAACAAATTATTACAAGTATTTTCCACTGCAAACTTCGACAAGTCAGAATCTAAAGTTTTAACAGAAATTGGAGGAACAGTTATAACTCCTTGCTGTAATAAAGAAGTAAAAAAAAAAAAGAAAAAAAAAAAAGTAGGATGAAGGAAGAACAGCTTAAATGTGAAGGCCTCACAACAAAAAGCAGAGGAAATGGCTCTCAGTAAAACTACCATTGTTTTTCCATATGTTCACAAAACAGTTGTATCACAAAATACTATAGAGAGCATCTGTCAAGCTTCTACACTGACTGCTATTGAATTTTCTTAATGTTTTATGGCACTTTTTTTTCCTTTGACATAGAGAAGGATTTCAGCTTTACTTTACATCATAAATGTTTTATGCCCTTACATTTCAGAGCACTTGACATGCACAATATCCTCAAAGAACCCAACTGGCAAGCAAAGGAACAACTGCTTCTTGCTACGCAATCACACTTAGAGGCAGGGGCTACAAATAATTCCTTCCACATTTACTGTTTCTGGTAAGTCTCTTTATATATACAGTTAACAAAAATGGATTGTTTATTTATTTATTTTGGAAATTGCTCCAAGCACTGCTCCAACAACAATTTACGAAGCTACCTGCCAAAAAAGACTTTGCGCCCTTTCTCAGGGAATTATATTTTTAATCTTAATCAATTACTGCTTTTGGATGTTTGTGTTAGTGCCTGGACATAAATGTGAAGAGCAAATATTGCAGATATGCAAATATGCATTGTATTTGAGTAAAGCTGAACTACCGTCCCATCTCTGTCATGTTTCCCATTGTTTCTCCAGACACATGACAGGACTTTAAACGGCAGTATGCAAAAAGGAAAACAGAGATGGTATGTGCTATTCTTATGCACTGAATATAACTAAATACAGCACTACTGTTGTTTCCTGTTTTTGCCACAGCTTTACGAAAACACATCTGAAATCTCTCTCCTTCCAAATCTTATAAAACCTATCAACCAGCCCACCAAAATATTCACAAGCCTCAAGACCTCTTTTTTTGATCACATTTCTCTAATTAAATTATCTTTTGTCTCTGTGGATCTCAAAAGTTACTTTCTAGTGAAAAGAAAGCATTCATCATCCTAAAACAAATCTGGGAAAAGCAAGTATCAGAGAGAGAATTTCAGACTGAGCAACTCCATTACAAACATTCTCTCTATTGATGCAACTACTTCTACTTTCACAGGATAGGAAATCCCCTGCTCACGGTGCACAGTTTTTTCAGCAAAAGAACGTAACCTAATTACGTATTAGTAGTATACAGTGCTTTTCAGCAGGCACAAAACCAAACACAGGAGTTTATCCTACTCAACTGGTATGGTAAGTCTTCTGGTAACGTGATAACGATGAATCCCTGGCTACTTCACTCTATCCAGAAGGTATCTGGCACCAAATATATTTGCATGGACTCAATATTTAGAAAAGCACTGTCCCCAAAACATGTTTGGTAGACAGTCTAAGTACCTAAGCATTTTCTTTACCTGAAACACTGACTGAACAGCTGCTTCTCACTCTCATAATTACTACATAGTTATGTTGCAAACTGGATTCAGTAAAAAAGCACAAGTAAAAATCTGCATGTGCAATCACTGGTTCAGCTTCTAAGTTGGTATCCAAGAACAGCTGCAGCTCAGAATCAGAAGTTCTATAAACATGTCATAAGGAAGGGAACACACTGAATGTAGTAGAAGCAGCAATGTTATTGCATCAGCACAGAATAAAAAGGTCAAGACAAAGCAATACTGTGTGCAAAACATTTTAAGTATGGGAAAACCTTTTAGAAGCTAAAGCAAATTTTAGCCTAATAAAAGAATGTTTTCAAGAAAACCCAAAGTATTCCAATAATAAATGGGGAGAAAACAGCAGGTGATTTTTTAAGAAGACAAAAACAAGCTGAAATTAAAAAAGAATACAGGAAAAAAGCTACAATACCTCATCCCCCATCTGTGGTACAAATGGGCACCGACGAGGAACAGTATCTGTAATCCATGCTGAAGGCAGCCATTCTTCCAGTGTCAAACCATTTTCTGCCAGAACTCCTACAGCCAGCCTCTAAAGAAAATGCACACAGAAGATAATATGAGTAAAATAACACTTAGGGCAGCCTTGTGCTTTGGGAAGTACTTTATTAAAAACTGACTGCCAATTCTCTAATATACTTAATGTAAAAAAAAAAAAAAAAAAAAAAAAAGTCAGCATGAAGATAAACCTGACTTAGCCAAAACCAAAAGTATTAACAATTAAAAAGTATTTAAAATAAAAGTATTAACAATTTAAAGATTTTTTTAAATAACGATCTTTTGTAACAATCATTATTAAAAATGAAGTCTCATGCCAACTTAAGTATGCCATCCTCTTGAACCAATTAGATAAAATACATGCAACAAAAATTGTTAAATCTTAATTCAAAAGCTGCACGTACACCTTGACTTTTAGCTCTTTTTGTATTAAGAATCTATCTAGCAACAAGATCCAGTGAACAGTTTCTACACTTATCCTTCTCGTTACTTCTCCTTGTTAAAGCTATGTTTTAAACCACCATCCCTCAAAGATGATATCCAGGAAACAGTTAGATAACTCCTAAGGACTGGAAATCACTCTTGATCAGGCCTGATCTGACTAGTGAGATGCTGGGTCTTACGCTGAAAAACCATATTCAGGTTTTGTTCTCGAGAAGGTAAGAAGAGAACAGGGAAAGAATCTTTTTTGAGTATTACGCACGTCACTGGATGTCTCTGTGTAACAAAATAAGGAAGAAAACCTTCTGTATTGGTTTCTAAACCACTGACCAGTTTATAAAAGCTTTTTATATCAGATGTCCTCAAATCTTCTGCCTGAGAGAAGTCAGTCTGTTAGTGTGCCCTAACACAGAAAAACTCTCTCTGATCTTCCTATGTACTCCCTCACTCTTGTATTAATTTTTAGACTGGCTGTTGCTGGAGGGGGATTAGAAATGGAAGTACCATTCAAGATCTTGGCAGCCAATGCATTAATAGGAAAGAAAGACTCTCTTTCTTTAATCCTTTCTTAGTTTCTATAATTTTGTGCCTAGCTACAAAGATAGTTTGTAATACTTTCCTCTTTCTTTCCAGTGGAAAGACCCAGGTTTGATTCAGATTCAGAAAACAGGAAGAACTTTATGCCGGTAAGACTATGAGCTCTCTGTCCAGGAAGGCAGTAGAATTTCTAGCACAAAAAATTCAAAGATTTATCTGTCAGGAATAATGGGTATACTTAATCCTACCTAGGCTCAGAATAAAGAAATGATTTTCTGACACTCCTTTCGGCCTAATATTTTCTTCTGATTCTAGAATAAAGGTCATCTTTAAAATATGAAATATTTAAGTCTGACATTTTTGGAATCAAAGAGTTCAATCATCACAGTAACTGGGACCAAAATAGATGCAAGTCCTCCTAAGACACTCAGTTTAGTTTTAATCTAAGTGGAAATGCTAGGTTGTTACCTGATTTCATATTTTAGAATAACAGGCTAAAGTGGGGCTTTAACCTGTTTTTTTTATATATATATATATATATATATATATATATACATACATACTTCTGTGATATTATGCCATTTTCTGATTTTAGACTGTGTAAATACCAAGATACTATTAGTACTGACCCTATAACTAATGACTCCATACAATAAACTAAAGCTTGTTTAATTCAAGAGTACGACTGCCACCTCACATCCTGTATGACTTCAGGTTTTTAACAGTATGACTGAAGGTTTTTAAAGATAATATGCTAACATGGATTTTGGTTGTTTCATCAGCCTACTACCTAATCGGAGGCAAAATGAAACAGTGACTAGTCAGGACTCCTTAGAAAATAAACCAAAATATGGTTATTTCATCACATAAATGATATAGTTATTTCCTTAGGTATTGCAAAAATAGAAGCTTTGCACTTATGAAAGCACTTGGCATCTACCAGATAAATCACCATTAGTCTTCATAAAGAAAGATCCATTTTTTTTCTGATTGAACAACAACAAAGCAAACATATAGTCAAAAACACAAAAATAACTTAAGTCACTGAAAGTTTTCATGTGCTGACTTAAAACAGGAACTATCACAAAGCAAACAAAACCCAAACAGACAATAACAAAATCGTGGTCAAGTGAAGTTCTACTTGACAGAAACATAGTTGAAATATAGTTCAAATATCATACATTGTGAAATCAATAGAATATGACATGACAGTGCAGACCTGAGGAGAAAGTGCAATTAAATGGGGAGACTGTCAGTACAGATGAAAAAAGTACAAGTACACTTAACATTAATACACCTCTCTAAAAGAAATCTATGGTCTAAGACAACACAGTGTTAAAGGACATATTACTAGTAAAAGACCTGATTTTAAATTAACATTACTGAATTGAATTCTGTCAAGACATTAAGAATGACCATTCTTCAATATACAAAATGCATCTAACCTTCTGTTTTCTCTCTTTGGGTTTTCTCTTCTTTGGTGACGTTGATGGTCCATCTTTCTCTTCACTCCCTTTCTTCCTTTCCTTTTTAATTTGCTTCTTTTGTTTTTCAGGTCCTTCCTCATCTTCTGAACTGCTTTCTGCTTTTTTTGTTTTAAGTTTAGGGATTTTCTTTGGTGGCTGCAGATTGATTCCTGCATCTGCTGTCCAGTCAGAATAATCACTAGAGTAGTCACTACATATGACGTATGAAGGAAATAAAGAAATTAAAAACTAGAAGTACACAGGTCTATATAATATAAGCCAGTACAAGACTAGACTTAATAGTCTAGAAAACTACAATATTTTAGAAGTTTAAAAGCAGCGCCTAAAAATCTATATTCTGACTTCAATTTAAATGGTAGTAAAAGAAAAGCTTTGAAATCACTCAGTCTTGTAAAATCACATTCTAGTATCACTAGAATAAACCCACTCATAACTTGGTCAGCTCAGATGATACATTTTAAATTCTGAATATTATTCTCCTGTCTTACGGCTTTGAAGAGCTTTGAACAGAAGTTTAAAAAAAAAATTGTACTCAAGAAGAAGCAATGGCTTGAAACAACCTCAGTCTTTGCTCTAACTTCAAGCTATGGACCAGCAGAGACGGTCACAAAGCTCAGACTGGCAGTCATAGGAAACTGCAACTACGTGCCTGAAGCATGTGCACCTGCAAAGAACAACCCTCCCAAAAACCACCGGGAAATACTACTGCTGATAGCAAACAAGGGTGAATTCCTGAATTTTAAGTTAAATAATCATACAGATGAAAACAAAATCCTGAAAATTTTACGTTCTCTGCCATCTTCTAAATGTACATTTTTGTTATCACTGGTTGTTTGCGTAAAGATAAGATTCTATAAAATTTGTAAGTAGAACATTTCTCTGTGAGGTATACTGTCACTTACCTAGAACTGCCATCACTGTGCCACGCTCTTTCATCATCTTCTGATGTTCCACCACTGGCAACAACTACTTCCCCTTCCTAACAAAGGGCAGAGAGGAGTGGGGATGGACAATGACAGGAAAAAAAAAAAAAAGCATTTTCTTTGGAATTCAGACTTATTTAAATGAAAGAAAATAAAGAATTTATGCAGAGATGCATAGTACACAGCAATATTTCTCAATACACAGTCGAGCCCCTAGTGCTTCTCAATCCTGATTTCAAAAGGCTAGCTTATCTCTAAAGAAAATTATTTCCAAAAGTCTTTAATGTAGAACTTCTCTATTTTTCTTTATTTTTTAATTACTATGAAAGAAAATTAGGATGAATGATAAACACCCATTTCTCCACTGTAGCTACATCACAGAAGCACAGGCTGTAAGGGACCTCTAGAGGTCATCTTGTTCAGCCTCCCTGCAGGTGACCATACTAATAGGCTATACAGGCCATACTTTTAGGCTCACCAATCGAGGAAAGATTTAATATTGCAGGCATTTATTTTGCAAAATCACTTTTGTCAATTAATTTTTATGCAAAACCGAACACAACTGCACATGAAAACATGATTCAACATTGATTTTTAAAGAAATGAAAGTGGTGAGTTTTAACTAGAAGCTTAATTAGCTGAAACAGGAGCTTAACAAAAACAGAAGTGGAACTGAGGATATCTTACATCTGAGGAAGAGTGTCCATTTTCTAACTCTTCAGCAGGCCTTGCAGGTTCTTCTGCTGCGTATCTTGTGCGGTAGTTGTGCTGGTTAGCTTGCTGTTTTCTTGATTCACTGGTGTCTAGTAAATGATCATGAGAATGGTTCTGTGAAGACATGAAAATCAAAACAGATTATTTTTGAGTATATATATTATTAGCACAGACGATTGCATTTAACATTTGTATTATAGGAAGCAATCTTTGCTGTAGCTAAGACGATACAATTTTCAACATCAGAAAATTCAAAACACATCACAAGTATAAAACTAAAGCCATCTAGAGGAGAACAGAATCTTTGGAGAACTCAAGCACGTCTTTTTTTCCATCTAAAGGGTCAGATCTGTGAAAGACACCACACACTAATGCATCCTAGTAATAGTCATCTCTATATGCTAAGTCAAGGCTTTTAAATGGTAAGACGATGCACAGAAGGATTCAAATGAATGAAAGTCACCTGTAAAGAAGGAGTTCTTACGATCTCAGAAAATGTAATGCAAACAATTACTTTAACATTTGAACTACTTAACTCCATATTGATCTCCTATTCTTATAGAAATTTAAGTGCTATAAGCTTGATTTCAAGACTTTTGTTGCAATATTTTTGGCATGTATAGTTGAACTTCAGGCCTGATCAGTCTCAAATAGCTTCTGCACTCATTCCTAGATGCCACAAAAGGTGGTATGCTCCTCCAGTGTGCCCTTTCTTCCCTAAAGGAAATCTGATATTTATCAAGTGCTGATATTGTTGACAAAACATCAGCAGAACTGGACCAAATCACAGAAAGGTATTAATATTATCAGAGCATTCTAGTAGGACAGACAGCTTGTAGCTATTCCTCTCAGACTTTTTTCTTCTTGAACAATGAAATTTTGTTGTAACAAGATTTCATGAGGTTTATACCAACTCACTTCCACAACAGAATTAACTGTTATGTTATGCTGCCCGTTTAAGACAAAACAATGACATTAGTCCTTATGGAGATTGACACAGTTATTCTGGGGTGAGTCCCATCATCCCAAAGTCAAGATCTGCCCCGTTGTTGAGGCCCACACAGTGTAAAGTGTAAAAAGTTTCCAACCCTAAAACATTCATATAGCATCCAGAAAGGGAACAAGCTCTGAGTGCTGCAGTAATAGGGACAATCTCATTAGAAAAACTCAAACATTGTAAAGGAAGCAGAAACAGACGAAAAAAAAAAAAAAAAAGAGGGATGGAGTAATAACCTCATCACTGGAGGCTTTCAAGATGCAGTTGTGGATGGTGCTAGGTAATCTCATCTAGGCTCCCTTTTCCAATGAAATGTTGGACCTGATGATTTCTCGAGGTCCCTTTCAGACAGAGTTGTTCTGTGACTTTGTGATCTTTCCTGTCCCTATATGATGAAAGTTGGCTCATAAGGTTAAATTTTCCTCACAAAAAAAAAAAAAAGACTTCTTGTTAAAAAACACAGTAAAACTTGACTAAGCAGCCATGATGTGGTTTTCCTTAGTCAAATGCAGAAGCCTGATAGCTAGAGCTTTTCTCCTATCCGCTATGTTACAAGATGCATGCCTTATTCAGGAATGACAGCACCCATCCACCTGGGTAGTTCAGCATGCTGTGCAGTTCCGTTATGGTTTCCATCAAAGTGCACAGGACAAACATACAGCACTCTGTGTTCTATTAAGCGTGTGTTTCTTCCATTCTGTTCAGTGAATTCAAGCTGGGGAAGCTACCCATGTCCTCTTCTTGAGAAGCTGACAGCACAGCTGCTTGAAGACACTTCTAGCAGGATTGTTTAGCAATCAGCATTTCAAGATTGCCCAGACTTTTGAAACCAGCAGCACTCCTTCTGGACTCAAGCTGGCAGCATACGGCAGATCTCTTTGGGCTGTTTTGACCTTACACAGACCAGCTCTAAGGCAGCCTTTAAGACTGCCTTAGACCTAGACTGCTCAGCCCATCACACAGTACATTCTGCCCTCAGCCTTCTGGGGCTGCTCACTTTTTGTTAGTCTCTCAGGATTGATTACTGACAGGTTACAAAAGCCACTGTTACAACAACTTGTTTCTGCTACTTTCATAGAATACCCACTGGGAATCACTGTTTTTGTATAAGGCCCATCCAGCATCACAAAATATTGTATGAAGAACTATTGATAACAGAAATGGGATTGGCTAAGTCCAATGTAACAAATGAGTAAAGTATCCTCTATAACTCCAAAATTAATGCTTATCGAAGGTATGGTACAACTACACTGAATTTGCTTACTTATCTTCTCTATAGAACTAAAACTCCTAAAAATTCACATACCAAATTCCATTCAGAAATAAGATTTCTCAAATGGTTATTATAAAATGCCTTTATCCTAGTTATGTTGGAACTATGGGTTCCCTGAAGAAAAAAAAAAAAAGGAAAAAAAAAAAAAGAAAAAAAAAAAAAGGAAAAAAAAAAAAGGTAATTCGCACTGCTATTTGGCCTTGGAAAGAGTTCAGTTCTTCTGACAGTTTGGAGGGTCCCAAAAAAGAAAAAAAAAAAAAAAAAAAAAAAAAGAAGAAGAAGAATCCCTATCCCTAACCACCTATTAAAGCAAGTAATACCACTGTTCACATATTGTATCAGGGTGATGACAAAGAGTAACAAGCTTTTTTGGGAAAGATACAGTACCAAAATATGAATTCTAAAAAGTTGTTACCCATGAGGAACAAAATCACAGAAAGGCTGAGGTTGGAAGGGACCTCTGGAGATCATCTCTGCTCAAGCAGAGACCAAAAAAGGTATACAGCTTTCACATCCTGCCAAAATAATTGCAATTTAATATCATTCCTATTCACCATAGCATTGCCAAAACTTGACAAGAAGCTGTAGGTGAGGCAGATTCTCATTTATTTGGTGGTGATTGTGTGGCACTATGATAAAGTTTTGAGTGGAAAGAAAAGGTAGTAAAAGCTGGTTTTGTTGTGTTTTGTTTTGTTTTGTTTTTTGCCAAAATGGAAACTATGACCAAACTCTTCAACAATGGCTGAGGGAACACAGCTGATAGGTTTTTTTTCAACAGATATTCCGAAGAAAAGAGTTTGAAATTGCACTCTCAACTCTAATGGGAAGTTAGGAAATAAAGCCAAGATTACCTATGATTTGAGGTTCAATCATCACTCTCACTCTCTCTGTATACTTTGATGAACTGTCACACATGCTGACAAATACCTTGTAGCACATCCAAGGCTTCCATTCCGTATTAGAGCACATCTATTGATACATTAGAAACTACAGCTTCTGTCAGAACAATTTTTCTGTGAAATACAAGTGATGGTATTTCCCGTATTTGAAAGGGACAGATACATATCATCTGGACAGAGCTGAAGGACTTCTTAACACCATTTCTGAAGACCCACTAATACAGTGAAAACTCAGAGATGTCCTAGCAACTTCCAAATTAAAGCACTGCCTTCTACTATCCTTAAGACCTTGACTCCACAAGGAAGTACAGCGTTACTATGCTTTTATAAGAGTTGCAGAAATCTTGATAAGCTATCATATTGTTTCTTCACCAGCAGGATGTGCTCAGAGAATCATTCCTGCTTTCTTACAACAGGAATTAGCCTTTACTAGCAAATTAAGCAGCAGTCGGTCACAAGCAAGTGTCCAATATTAGAACCCCAATATCAACAGATGCTCACAGCCTTCTTAAGACAAAGAAAGGAAACTTCGGGTTGTGGGTGCTTTGGATTTTTTTCTTTGCCTGTGTACACATTTCCCAATGTTATATTTGATACACTATAAATTTTAAAAAATGGTTTGCCAAATATTAGACTTTAAGCAAAGCTACAGGTATTATTAAATACGTTATTCACAACTGACTTTCACCACACTCTGAAATAAAAATGTGTAATAAGACTTTGGAATTTCCTTAAAAAGTTATTATAGATGCTTTCTGTTTTTCCCTATCGATCTACACTTTGGCTTGAAACCCAAAATGCTACACAGTTGGCTCCTGCTCTCCTTTCCATCTTTTTTCTTCGATATTTCTGAGTCATTTTATTAAGAAAATATTACTTTATTATTATTATATGACAAACAGAAATTTCACAGGTTGATATGAAAACAGTATTTCCTCCTGCACAAATGTAACTGAAATTTAAAGAGTACAATGTTTAATCTTTTTCTAGATTAGCTGACATTACTGTAGAATGACATATATTCTACAGTTCTTTATGCTGTAACTTTTAGGATTGAATATTACTGGAAAGTAATGTTTCCCCAATATTACACTTAAAGTGATCCCCATCTTCTTTCGACCATAAGCCCTCTCACAAAACTCTTAAGAATTTGCTAAGCTACAAAAAACGTTGCAGTCTCAACATCACTGTAATATAAATTACAAGGCATGAGTATAAAAATCTGCTTTTTCTGAAAGATCAGAAAGATTTAAATGGTATTTTGTAGTTCTATCTTCAAAAACACAAGTTGTAATTAAAGCCACACAGTCACTGTAAAGAATCGCAACAGAAGAGCTGCTGAGTTGATTTCCATTTAAAAAAAAAAAAAAAAACCAATCCAAAATACCTCACTACAGTTTTTGAAATGAGATCAGTCTTGCTTTGCTTCCCTTGTCCTTCATTTTATTACTGCCATTAGAGAAGATGACAAATTCACATGACCATTCCTACTGTTTTGACTCCACAAAGCAAGAATGTACTCATGCTAACTGTATGCAGCAATGAGAAATACTAAAATCACAGCATTTTATCTAACTGGAAAACTTAACCAATTGGGATCAAGCAGCATTTTCTCCCTGCAGATCTGCTTATTTCAGGTCCATTTGATATCTACTTACATCTGAGTCCCCCTGACGCTTATTTCAAGGGATTTTAATCATCATTATGTTTCTCATCAACTCAAGTCCTCCAGTAAGAAAGATTTAACAAAGAATAAACAAACTATCAGTTTTCTTTTCCAACATTTCATGAAAAAGAAGCATCATGTGTGGTACCAGAAGGATTTCTGTAACTGGATTACTGAATTCATCAAGAATTATTAAATGGAAAACTTCACATACTAAAAAGCAGAGATCTTGACTGTCTGCTCTTTCCTCAGAATAAAGGTGGAAAGTGCCTAATGGGGTGGCCAAGTTACCTCACCCATAACCCATACATTCTGGGCATAAAAATCCAGATCACACATCTTTCAGACCTGAGATAAATGAAGAGTACACTCTTCTCTGGGTTAACATAAGAAAATGATAAAAGTTTTTGCAAAGCTACATTTTCCTCTGTAGGACTGTAAGGGAATAAATATCTACAATATATAGGACAACAGCTATATTCTTTTCTTTCTTTCGAAGATGTAATAAATGCAATTGCTGAAACCAAAATTCCAGACCAACTAGTCTATTCTACTGTTCTTATGCTCTAGTGATATTTTAAGAGAACTATAAACCAATTAGAAATACAAGGGTAAGCCAGTAGAAATTCTCAGAGGATAGACCTTTTGACTGAGCCATAGCTTACGTAAGCAGGAAGAAACTCTACAATTAAGTATTAAAATGCATCCCCTCAGTTCAACTTTATTAAAATTAGTGAGGCCCAGCTTCCATTGTTTCTGAGAGAAAGAGTTATTAAATTTTATGATATTCTGCCATGACCACCTCCAAAACCATGAAGGACAAGTAGCTTCATATCTCTGGATAATAAATTTGGCAGATAAATTGCAGGAAAAAAAAGTTCAACTATTCTTGAGCAAACACTTAATTGCAAAGCATGTAATTTAAATGCAAGAAATTTGAGAAAGAAATAGAAAGCAGTACTCAGCATCTGAAATTTCAGAACGTTAATTATATATCACAGGAATTAAGTGTGTGGTCAATAGCTGCGCAGTATTTATACATTTGGTTTCTTAGATTTTTCCACATTGGACTTCATGATTTTTTACTTTTCAGTGGACAACTTGCAAGCAATCCTGGAGGCATGTATTTTCCTAAGACCTTAATTATAGTCTCTTCTAGAATATTACAGAAACCAAAGTATGCGTTCTCCTTTCCATTTGTTTAACATTTACTTCTTTCATTACAGATTCCGGTTGGTTATTTAGCTTAAATAAGTGCTAAATTATTGGTTGGTTATAAGAGCATAAAGAGAATGTGATGCACACATAAAAGTGATTTCTAAATTAACAAGACGTAAAGTCATTTTTGTAAATACAGAATACACAGCTTCATTTTCTTACTGCTGTAAAGGCTGATAAGATTAACTTTTTTTCAAAGGTTTATGAAAACATCAAGTCAATTATGATGACTGTTTATTTGTAGCACAGCCTGCTCCCTTCTAGTTCTTCTTTCCCCTTTTACTCTTTTCTGAAAGATACATCTTTGGTTCAGCAAAATGCATGATTTAAGAAATACCACAGAAATTTGCATTACACTCATTAGCCCAGCAAGACAGAAAATACCCAATTCTTCAATTGGAGACTAACTTAAATGCATTAAAGAACTATGACTTAATTTTTAATTGAACGTTTCCACAGAACACTATGTCAAACTCTAGACATCTGCATCAAGATGTATTGATCAACAGTGACAGCCACCCTAAAGCAAAACACATTCCCAGATCTGGATTCATAACACTTCTCATGCAGGGGAGTTCCAAGAGCAATCTCAGATTATTCAGGACACAGTGAAACATCAGTATGGACACATGCTCTCATTCTGCGGAGGTAAGCAAAATCCCATACCCCTGGCTTTCAAATTTAAAACTGAGAGTAGTTATGTAAACTCATGTGGCCTAACAAACAGCATTTATTTTATGCTTCTTACTGTGATAAAGTACCAGAGTTTGTTTACCTTAGAGAAAGTAGGTATTTTGTTCTCTCTCTGAATATGACTCATTACGTGCTTTCTTTTCTCTTCTGATCGATAGACCCTTACTTCTTCTTCTCCTTTTGCTGTTCTCCATTCTTCCTGCCTACTGAAAATAGAAAATTAAGGTGTTAACCTTAAAGCAAAAATAGTACCACTTCTCTACCAAGTCATGGGATAAACATTCAACAGTTATGACATGCTTTGAACAGTCATTTCTTTGAGTACAGTCAGAATTGGCTTCAAAATTACCCTTTCCAGATAAAGACTTCAAGTGGCAAGAACTGAGTACTGTGTTCTGTTCAAAGTACATCTGATTTAACTATTCCCAAAGCCACTAATCTAAATTCAAAGGCAACTTTCTTGAAAATATACACAGAATCTAAAAAACGTAATTGAAAAGTATTCTTCTCTTGGTTGTTTACAAGATGCCAATTTCTGAATCTAAAGAAAACCTGCACCTTCATACATCAGCATAGTGTCTGTATTAATTAGCTTCTCTTGAGAAGATTTCCAAAATTTAACCATTCAGAAAATCCTCTGTTTACATAAGAATTTCAATCTTATTTCAAAAAGCTAGAGCAGCCCAACCCAGTTATTTGAGTTTTTTGCCTTATTGATAAAAGTATTTATCACAAGAGCACATTACTGAACAAAACAAAGTTATTTCAAGTTTGAAAACCGATGTTCACCTCAGGCACTTGATGGGTCAATGCTCCAGCTGTAAAATGCCAGGAACAAACACAGCTGAAACATATTACAATGCTATGCCTCAAGTCAGAAATTACCTAGGCAGTTAGACTCTACTGCAATTACAAGTTAAATTACCATTTGCAAAATCCTTATTTTTTATTCATATTACTTGTACAATTCCAAGATTTTACAAGTGTCAAGGAAACAAGAACTATTTCACACAAACTCATTTTATAAGAATTGAGTCCACGGAAGAGGGAAGCACAAATAGGACTGTGACACTGTTCAATTTAACAAAGTTCACAAAATTAAAATATTCTGCAAACTGGACCTTTGCTTACCTGGCCACACCAGAAGACAGTTCAGGCACCACAACCCTCCTGCTCCAAGCCACAAGGTCCCGCTCGGTTGCTATTTCACTTCTGGGTGCATTACTATGCATCTGACGCACACCTTCAATTTGCCCACTACGTCTTAACCCTATATTTGGTGGTGAATGAACTTCAGAGGTAGAACTTACAGATGCTAAAAAAAAAAAAAAAAAAAAAAACAAATTAAAAAAAAAAAAAAAAATAATCAAAAGGCAATAGTTGTACTTAACTGGAAATTGCTAGAGTAACATCCACAAAGAAAATTTCAAAATGATTGGAAAGAAGGAACAAGGTTTTTTTTTTGCTTTTATTTCAGGAGAAAGCAAATATTAAAGCTATTCCTGTAACTTCCAAAGTTCTATAGGGCTGCAGAAATCCATTTTAAAAAGTCATTCCAAAAACAAATGGAAGCATCAACACTCAAGAGAAGTAAATTGTCATGTGTCTCATTGGTTCAATGTTCTCATAAAATGTCTTTGAAAATGTTTACAAGAAGACAATTTGTGCTACTGTTCTCTAAAATGATTTTGTATTTTAAAAAAAAGAAAAAGGATCTCATGTAGTCAGTATATTCCTTAAACAATTTTCTACCTTCAAAAAAAAAAAAGCCACAATACTGCAAAGTACTAGGAATCCAAACTGTAAGATTTTCAAACAAGAAACCCAAATGATCAAAAACAAACAAAAAAACCCCTAAATATAACAGCAACAACAAAAAACTCTATACATGCAGCATCCTGCAAACACCCACAATTGTAGCAAAGATTCAAGCATTTTTCCACAATTCACACACATTATTCTTGCTTATTCAGATAGATTATCAACCAAGATTCTTTTATTTTATTATTATTTTTTAAGCATTGAGATCTACCCTGTAATCTACATTAAAATATGGAATAGCTATTATGAGATACAAGTAACCTTTTCCTTCTTTCTTCCTTCTGTTTCCTTGTTTGAGACAATTCAGATTTCCTTCAAAAAGATGGGCAATTCCAGATTAAACTGCAGAATAGTTACACCTAAGGGAACACAGCCACTGCAAATCCTCTGAGTGAGCACACAACTTCAACAAAGATAGTTTTGTCATGTGAAGAATTATGAAGTTTTGCAGAAGCAGAAAAACAACAGACAGGAAAAATGAATAATGTTCTATCATTCCGCACTTCTTCTCTAGTAGCTCAACAAAATCATACAACACGATATGCAATTAGCATTTTTCCAACTTTCAGATGGTTCAGTTGGAAAACCAGAACACCCTCACCATAGGTGTGTAATTTACCTCTGTTTATCCGGCTGGTAGTACTAGTTCCTGCCTCCCCAGAACGCCTCTGATCTTGCTCTTGCTGAAGTCTTTGAATCATGCTATCCAGTGGGCTAACTTCTTGGTTTGCTTGTTGGCTAAGGACTTGATTCAATCCTGTGGAAATAAAACACACAAATATTAAAGAACCTTGTATCACAAACTGCTCATCTAAGTTTTTGGCTTTCAAATTTACAAGTACAGTACACAATAATTCGATTAAGTATTGCCTAAGCGTATTTTTAATAGTCTTTTCCTTGGTGTTCTTGTTTGTAAAATAGGATAACTTTTTCTTAAGTTCTTGCATTAAATTTCCTGTAGCAGGGTGAAGGTGACCCAAATTCCAAGAAAAGTTTAAATTTGATCAAGTGCAATAAAAATACAGAAGCTTAATACAACTTTTGTTACCTTTAATCAGTGTAAACCAAATGTTACACAGCACTGGAACAGGCTGCCCAGAGAGGTCATGGAGCGCCCCTCTTTGGTGATATTCAAAATCCACCTGAACACTTTCCTGTGTGACCTACTGTGACATGCTTTAGTAGGGGGGTTGACTAGATGATCTCCAGAAGTCCTTCCTAATGCCTAGAATTCTGTGATTCTGTGAACTGTGTGCTCAGCCTGCCCAAATGCATCACAGAACACTTTAATCAAAACTTCAATTGAACACATGGCGGGGTGGAGCCTGGGCAATTCTTGTCAACAGAAGCAGAACTTGCAAAACTTCGTAATGAGGGGTAAAAGTATTCAAAGAAACAAGCTACAGAAACTATTTTCCAAGTATCATCAAAAGAGATATCGCGGTATAAACTTTGAAAGATGAAATACTCAATATTACAGCAATTTTGCTACAAAATACATAGCTTTGACTGTGGCAAGAAAGAAACCACACTGATTATGCTATGCAGTAAGAATATAAATATTTAAGAGTGCTCTCAGTTTTTAAGTTGGTTTAGTTGCAGTCAACTTTGCCGAAGCAGCAGAAGTTTGAAATCATGAGCTCTGGTTTAAACACAGTTGGATATTCTCCGACATGTGTAGCAAGGCAGTCAGATTTATTCGGTGAACTCATAAGTAGACATACTGTCTTATGAAAACAGTTGGAAATACTACAAATAACTCCAAACTGATCTTAAAAAAAGAAAAAAACCGAACTGCTTCCTTTTCTCCACCCATATTTCCACATGGACCACATCTAGGTAGTATTCTACACAGTGACAGACTGAACGTACTCCTGTTCATCATGCACAGTACATGTGTATTGTAAGACTTCAGAAAAATGTCATAGATTTTCCATCCTTATCAAAACTTGAGAGTTCTCGTAACAAATCAAAGTTCAAGTACAATGACTGACTTTATCTACAGAGGAAGAAGACTGGTATGTTCTGTATTTTTCTCTTCTTTCAGGTGTTACCTGTCACAACTGATCTGTGGAGGAAGACCTGACTTTTAGACTTTTTGATGTAGGATATCTTAAACCAAAGGGATCAACTGAAACCTCATTCCACATCATGCAGTTTTCAAAATGAAACAAATTCCAAGCTAACTCATAGTGTAGCATCAAGTAGTATTAATCTGACTGATGACAAACAGTTACTTGTCTGTCACAAGCAATCAGTGCCAGAACAATGCAATTTTTCAATGTTATATGAACTACTACTCCCAAAAATGAAGAAAAAGAACATAATGAGAGGGAAAATGTATAACATCTACAGGCAACTACTAATGCAACAATGTACCAAATTGAAGTTTTCCATACCTGAAGATGTCACTCCCATCTGAGGAATAAGCTGTTCCTCCCTGCAGTTTTCACGACCAGGAACCAGCCTTTGATACCTTGCAGGATGCGGGTTGCCATCCACATCAACCAAAAACGGGGGAGGCATAAGGTGTGGAGCCTGCTGTGTTTGTTCATCCAGGACAAAGTTGTTGGCATCACGGATAAGGGGCCGATAATCACTATGAAAGAACATCTGATCTGCTATCTGTAAACAAAGTCATTTTGTAATATATATATATATATGTATGCATATATGTATTTTTTCAAAATGACTACTAATGAACACACTGAAGAAAATACTGACAAAAATCTTTTTATCAATGTCACTGGTGGTCATAAGCATAAGCAAGACTGCTCTGTTCATCTCACCTTACAGAGGAAAAGTGACTATCTTCCAGCATTCACTTTCTATATTCTCATCACGAAAAGAAAAAATAAATTGCAGGTTTGATTATGGAGAGCACTTGAACAGACAAATGGGGCAATTTTTACATACTTGTAGATGTTTGATGGAACACAGCATTGACATAATAAAAAGGTCTCAAATTCTCACATACACGTATCTGATAATGTAAACTATGCCATAGGCTTATGAACTCTGGTGTAAGAAGAGAATAAGGAAAATATTTATCACATTGCATCACTCCGTATATTTTATCACCAGAAGTCAGACTCACAATTTTTACTATAGTACAAAATACATCAGAAAGTTGCAGTAGCTAAAATAAAGCTAATTTGAAGCTGAAATCTTCAACTTCAAAATTATTTCAGTCCACTTGCTCATAATTTATTCTAGTTGATAATCCACAGACACTGCAGATTAAGGAATTCTGTTGTCCAAATAGTATGTAAAAAGGCTTTTGGAATCACCTTTCACTGGCACACATATCTCAACACTGCATTCAGAAAGACATTGAATCACAAGGAGAAAAGAGAACAGAAGACATATACTACATATACTACACATTCCAGCACTACTTACTGACAAGCAACCCTCTTGGTAATGCACACTCAGTTTAACTTTTAACGAGTAGAAGTAAAATCATAAAATCATGATTTACTCATAAAAAGATTTCCAGCACAGAATAAAAATAACTGAGCAAATGAATGAAGGCATAGAGAACCCGAAAAAAAAAATTCTCTTAGGTGTTAAAAGACAGATATGTTAGCACAGTCAAAGGAGTGCCCATGTAGAAAACATTCTGTTTTCCGAATATGCTCTATCGTGAACAATTCATAACACAATTTCCTGTAATCTGTTATGTAGAAATCAGTATTGCAGATGTTAGAGCATCTGGAGCATCTGGAACAGATCATGTTCAGAGGTCTACATTCTCAATGAGGGATGTAAGAAGACGAGGAAAGAATCAAACATGTCAGTTACAGAATCAGCAAGTAGCTACATGTACACAATGCAAATTTAGAAAAATAAATGTGGGATCTGGACCCCACACAAATTCAGGAAAGTTACACCAGGAAGAAAATTCAAAAGATGCATGGAAAGCTACAGAATAAAAAAAATTTACTTCAGGATTCAAAGGGTAACCCTTATAAAGTACACATGGACAAGGCAACATCCCTCATCAATAAGAAGCCCTGGATGAAAGTAAGCAGTGCCTCTGTTAACAAAGGCTGAATGAGAAAGATGCATTACAGTCAAATCTTGCTTACCAACTTTGTTCCTTCAGCTCAGCAGCTAGCTCGACATGATAAAGATATAGGTTCTTTATGAGGATTTTGCCCACAATGTAACTGTAGAATACTACTTTCACCTACTGCAAATTTTCCTATTAAGTATTTCCCACACTAAGAAAGATTCCAATGGTAAGATTGTTCAGATTGTGAACTTTAATGTGCTTTACTACGTTGATGGACTCTAACGTGTTTTATTTGGTTGTATAGTGCCGTCTACATCCCAAGCTTAAAAAACTTCATGACCAAGTGGAGATCTGGAAATTCTTCCTCTCACATCCAGCATCCTCACAGCATATCCTCATGATCTCTGACACAAGATCATAAGGGACCTCTTCGCCATTACCTTTAATTTGTATTCTGCAATGCAATCAGAGAGTAAACAATTTTTTACTCCATGGTAAGAACAGCACCCAAAACCCAGGCTCAGTGCCTGGGTTTGGACAGAACTCCTCAAAGCACCTATTGGAACCTCAAGAATGATCTTATCTTCAGGCTAGTTTGGGTCCAGAGAAAAATCAGAAGAATTTAGGGAATCTCAAATGGCTACATTCATTTGCTAACATGTCCAGCAGTCAAACAGAAGTATTAACGAACAGATCTGCTTCCTGATAAACTTTTAGAGATTAAATTCATACATACATACACACACACACAAGATTATACCACCACTAGGACATACAAGTCCTTTGAATTTCATGCTACTTGCTTCAGGTGAGAAAACTTTCCACAAGGTCGGAGCTGTACAAGAGTTAATTCTTTGGTAACTACACAACACACATGCTGAATGTTCAGTTTCTCCAGATGGGTACACATACACAAATGCAGAGATTTTTTCATTACTGCACCTATGCATCACACAAGAGCTGTCAGCGAGAAACAAAGAACTGTGGTTTGAGCAATCGACATGGAAGTACTGCATCTTCAGGTTCATTATTCCTCTCTAGTGAAGTTTCTATCTATGCAAGAACTTCAGAAGTGTGCACGGGCTCATCTGTGAGCTCAGCTCATCCCTGATGATCTTCACGCAGTCAGAAATTCAAAGAATTGATCTGAAATTGGCTCAAGTTCCATTAAATGGATCAAATACTAAAGGAGCCAAAAGTGAACAATAAGCATAGTCCCTTTTTGAAAATCAAGAGCCTGCTCATAGCAAAGCTGACAAGATTTCAGCTAGAATCATTGCCCTGAACAGATCTCACAAATGTAAGAGTGCAGAACTGGTTATCGTGCTTCTTCATCCTGTAAAAAATCATTCCCTAAGATGCATGGAAACCATTTTTAAGCAAAACAAACAAACAAAAAACCAACAAAACAAACAAACAAAACCAACTCTGTACTTCCTACTAGCACTTATTCTCACACGATATCTGGGAAATCAGACTAAAACCAGCACCCAATTAAATTAACAAAAAACAAGGAGCTGAGAGGTGGGGCATCAAAAAAACAGAGCAGCAAATCCCCAGCACCTACCAATATATATTCACTTCGCTCCATAAGGCAGGAAGACAAAAATAAAAGAAGAATTGGAACAAGAAATGAAAGAGGTCTGTAACTTCTAAGCTGACATTTAAGATGGAGATGCAAATCCTGTGTTTCCATTTCTTCTATGGTCAGTAATGACAGGATTACAACAGTAGCAGCTGAAGAGAACAATTTTAAATCACAAATAACTTCAAATTTTTGAACAATCTTTTCTTGCAGACTGCAGATAAAATTCCAAAGACCAAAAGGTCTGTAATATTCAAGGTGTGAAAATTGTTTTTCTTCAAACACGTCAAATCCCTCACAAGGAATGTTTTCAGACAGTTACATAACAGAGACTCTTGGTCCACCACAGCAAAGACAACAATTGCTTTTTGCTCACACTTCATTTCCAACACTTATGAGTTTCAGGGGATTATGCACTACCAAAATGATTGGAGAGAAAAAGACTAATTAATGAACACAGTGACAATAATCACATCAGGATTTAAAGTTTAGAAGAATAAGAACACTGAAAGACAGAAGGACCTGAAAACTGATCTGATAATGTCAGTTTTCCTTGCCTGTGGTAACTCTGCTCCTGTTTGTCTTCCCTGAAACGAAAGGGAAAATGCTCTGGTGGATTGAGCCATAGTAACAGTTACAGTTGCTAGCCTCCAAATAAGTGCTTCAAGTTATAGTTGAGAAACATAATCATAAAATATTCTAGCACATGATGCTGCTGTAACTGACATCAAAATAAGAGCTAGAACACAAAATAAATAATTGCAGTTGTTTGTATGACAAAGATTAAAACTGCTTTTGTTATCTCTTCTTCAGGCCCCTCTTCACTAATATTTGACATGGTGCTTTTGAGGCCAGTCTGAGTCAAAAGATCCACAAGTAGAAAGCAAAATCCAGAAGCCAGCATTTCAACAACCTGTAAGTACTAGATACCAGGTGCATATATGAAAACCTTGGGACAGATATCTCTGTTTAAGCCTAGAAAAGGAAAGAGACGTCACCTCATTTCTGGGTGATAAAAGAAAAACTCTTAAGTAGGACTCCTAACTAGTAACCTACACAACTCAAAGGACATGCTCATCAACAGGGAAAAACAAACCACCACCAATTATTTACAGTCATGAGGGTCTGCTGCAAGGCACCTGGACTTAGAATAATGCTGAGTATAGTCTTAGAATAAAGATGTAACATTTTAATCACACAGTAATGGTAGAGCATTGCCATGTAAGCACCATGGCATTCCTTGACAGCAGAAACACAGCAGACAATTTCTTTTTTTTTTTTTTTTAAGCTAGAATATATAATACATTTGCAGTAACATAATTGCCACTCAGGCTATGCAGTGCTTCAATACAGATACCAGGAGCTGGTTCTATTACACCTCCCCACATTTTTCATCTTAGAAACAAGAAAAATACTTAAAGCAAAATATTTAACTATTTCCAATTCCACTACCCATTATTCACGTGGATCCAGAAGGACACTGGTAACCTCGCTAATTTCACTGAGCAGAGAGTGACCGGGTGTTTTTATTTTTACTTGTAATTTCCCATGCAAATAAAACATGCTTGACAGCATGTATCTGTAGTTGAAAACAAAAGACAGTGAAAGAAAACACTGTTAACAACAACAGGAGTCACACATTCATAACTGAAAAATGAGTTAACGATGCACTCTCTTGAGCTGAAGCTCTAACAAGGTTTGTATAAACACATTCAAAACAGATAAACATTTTGACACATATCTTGTACTGTACCTTGTCATATTTGCTACTGGAACCAAAGCCAAAAATCAGAAGGTGACCGTGAGAATCAGTACATGCAAAATGCTGCCCATCAGGAGAGCACTTGCAGTCAAAAACTGCACCATGTCCTTGTCCTTCAATCTGAAATACATCAATATACAAAATGATTAAGTTACCAGAAACAAATTGTTGTCAATTATGATTAGCAAAACTGTGATGCTGATGTTGAAATTTATATAAAATCTGCAAGGTAGTGTACTGCTAGATGGAAGTTCCTTTAAAACAGCTTACTTTTTTGGCTATTCGCTTTCCATTGGATTTTTAGAGTAAAGCTCATGAAAGATGCCAAATTGATAGTAGTAGAAACTGACAGACTTAATCCACAAAGCAGGCACAGTACAGGAAGTGAAAATAAAAGCTTCCCCTTTGAATGTCCTGCTAATAAACCTAAACAGAGAGCTGGGTCCAGTTCAGGGCTTTAGTCACTACACCGTTTCAATCCTCTGCCTCTTTGCTAAGCTAGCCCATAGCAATGGCTGCTGTGGTGCTTCAGGACACCTGCCCACTGCAAAACACACTGACATTGACAACCCACATTACACAACTTAGCAACTGCCTCTTTCTGTAATTCCTACTCCTAATTTATCGGAGTGGGGGAGGTTTTGATTTTTGTAAAAACTCCACTTTTTAAAAGGAGAACTGCAAAGATTTTAAAAAAGGAATTTTTACCTGATACTCATTTTCTGTTTTCCAGTTCCTTTAAGCCAGAACAAATGGGTTTTTGTTTTTCCCTGCAACCTGTCAATCAAGCAGAGGTGACCAATCACCACTCTGAATTTTCACGTCTTCAGCACCTCTTCAGAAAGCCCCTTTCTATTCTCCCCAGTAAAGGACTTCTGCATTTTCTTTAAAGAAAAGAAAAAAAGAAAAAAAAAGAAAAAAAAAAGAAAAAAAAAGTAATTCTTTCCCTAGCTGTGGAGGGCCTATGTACTGCCAGAACAAACAACAGTATTCAGCCTGCACGCAGAAGCACTATATACTTCAACAGCACCTTCCAGGGGCCATCAGCATTACTTCCAAAGTTAATGAACTAAGCCTCAAAAATCCGGTGAAGCAGGCAGTACCTTCACTAAATTGCAGACTGAGACTAAGGCAAGAAGTCCATTTCTTTTGCCCATAGTCCTGCAGCATTCCTGCTCCCCTGCACACCCTCCCGACAGTAAAGGCTGCTACACCTGTGACCAGGGCTTCAATCATTGGACCAAAGTCTTTCCTACTACAAGTACTCTCCATATAAGTTTCTGGATTGGGATAAAAGGAACATAAATCAATTCAAGTTTTATGTTCTATTTTGCCCATTATTCCAGAAAGAACAAATTCTTAATAGAAGTATCCTACAGACAAAGATGGAAAATAACAACAGAGCTTCAAGTGAGTGGCACTAACATTGCAACAGCTAAGAACGCAGAATTACTCCAGGCTAAGCAAGATCCAACAACATGGCAAAATTACAACTTTGTGCTGCTTTTTTGCATACAGAAAGCTCATCTTATTCAAGGGAGACGGTATGGAGAGGCAGATAAAAAGGGGAAGGAACTCCATCCCAAGTGCAAGCTTTACAGATGTATAGGAAAAATCTCAAAAAGAACTACATACATAAGAGACTGCTGACTGCCTTACCCCAACAAAAGAAATATAAAAGTATCAAGCCTCCTAACATTCAAGTTCTTCCAGAGTCCTCCTATAGAGCCCAAGAATTGAAGACTTTGTTTCACAAGGAAAACAAAGCATGATTAGGAACGAACTACTTGCTAACTACTGGGGGCGGGGGAAACTTAGAAATAGAAGGAAAATAAATCCAGATCTTAGATTGTTTTTTACTTTTAATTCTTCCCAGCAAGAAATGGCTTAGATGGACCATTTTCAAGAAATTTCATGTATGAAATTCATGAGTGAAACATTATTTGGAAGACATTCCTTTATATAAGAAAGAAAATACAGTCATTTACTTATTCAGTAATTAGTACAGATTAAACAGTTTCACTGTAAATATGGTCAGAATCTGGTGTAAAACATGCTTATAAAAAGGACAGAACTAGGATTGTTTAGTACAACCCCTCAAGTGTGGTGTACCACTACTTGGAAATTAAGACCTTTAATATTACAAAAACAAAAAATTACTCTTACTGATAAGCTTCCAAGGCACAATTGCTATTAAAAGCAATTGGCAAAGCCTGCCAGAGTGTGATATCTAGTGTATATACATATACATATATATACACACACACACATAAAAATATTTTAATAAATTACACTTCACAATGGAATTCCTTTAATAATAAAGTTAACACAGGATTTGGTCACCTGGAACAGAAACTAAACATTAAGTTGCAAAAGGTAAAGCTGAAGTAAATCAATGAAGTTCTAACTTTGGCAAGCTAAATGTAGGACTGAGCAAAAAGGAAGCCTTCCTCACTCCATCCCTTTTAAGTCAAAGGTACGAGTACTGTCTGAAGACTGCATCCCAAACAAAGTGAAATGTTTTTTTCCTTTTTAAAACCTTTCCTTGCTGAATGAGAGGATATCTGTGGCAGGGAGAAGACACCACCACCATGAGAACAAAAAAGCACACTGATTAATTAAGAGCTGCGCATACATTGTGAGGACTGCCAATAAGTCAGCACATTAAGACACTTGTTAGCAAAGCAAGTAGCAAAGATTCTTCAGTTACAAACAAGGAAGAAATTCAGGCGCATACAAAGAAGAATAAGGTAAGACTACTTTTATTATCAACAACTCCGAGAATTATGCTGTATGTCTGCATTTTCATTTGCAAGGAAACAGAAGGACATCAGAATGTCAAAGAGAGGAATGTTGATTAAGAATGAAAATGGACAGCTATTCTTTTCCTCTCGGTTCAAAAGAGTTTGTTGTTCTTAAACCAGAGATAATAGTTCTGAAACTACAGTATAAAGAAACGTCTTAGATCCTCAAAGTAGTTTCTTGTTTCAAAAATGGAGAAGTACCTAGAAAAAGAGAGAAGATGGAGCTTTTTTGACCCATTATCAATAGTTAGTATGAAAGACTTAGAAGCTAGTTTTTAAGGAACACACAGCACATGCGGTAGAAATCACAGAATCACAGAATGGCCTGGGTTGAAAAGGACCACAATGATTATTGAGTTTCAACCCCCCTGCTGTGTGCTGGGTCGCCAACCACCAGACCAGGCTGCCCAGAGCACATCCAGCCTGGCCTTGAATGCCTCCAGGGATGAGGCATCCACAACCTCCTTGGGCAACCTGTTCCAGTGCGTCACCACTCTCTAAGTGAAGAACTTCCTCCTAAAGAAGCAGTAGAGGTTACCAGAAAACTTAGCAGACTTCCTTCATTAAATTAACTGATTTTGTATGCCAAGAAAATATAATTCATTTATTTAAAAACAAACAAACAAACAAAAACAGAAAACAAACACAAAACCTAGCTGGATTTCACAGGCACGGCACTGTCACATGACATGGCACTTAATTCAAATGGAAGAAATTGTGATTGGTAGGAGAACTGTGCAGTAGGCAAACTTACTAAGAACGGATAATAGTTTTTGGTTTTGAAGAAGACGCACAGAGCTAAAAGAATGCAAACAGCAAAGTCCCTCCATCCAGGTATTTCTATTAGAGACTACAGGAAAAAAAAAAACTGTTGATGAAATGAACATTAGCAAATCAACCACTAAGAACAGATGTGGGACACAGCAGCTGAAGCAATTAGAAGTCAACAAGAAAAAAATGCAGTAGGCCATGAACGTAGTAAGATTATTAGAAATAGTTTTCTAACAGAACTTTGCCCATGCACTTCTACCTATGCAGTTCCATCTCATCTTCCAACACAAGTCATCAGCATCATTTTAAGTCAGTGAACTAAGTCTTCTCTAGCCTGATGTAGATATTTTCCTTCACATTAAGAGACTGAGGCAATTAGTTGGAAACACAGGAAGAAAGATCACTGACTGCAAGGTATTACATATGATGCAACAACAAAAAGAAAACTATAATCCTAAAGCACACCAGAGGTACATCCAGACAAGAAAGAAAAAGCTCACACACGGCTAGACAAGTAGGCAATAAGACAAAAGAACTCTTCTAAAAGAATACAAATAATTTTTGCTTCTCATACTCAAGAGAAGCAAATTCCAACTGCAACAGCTACAGAGAAATATTTTCACTTATTGTGAGAATGGAAAACCTCAGAGCTCAGTCTCTTAGCACAGACACTAAGGAAAGAGAACACATATTCAGAATTCTTTAGCAGGAAGACTGCAAGCCTGCTAGAATGTTTGGGTACAATTGAAAACCAATTACAAGCAACATTCAAATTTGAGAACTAAAATTTAGATTCTTCCAATCACAACAATGATATGCCAGAAGAACTTTCTAAAAATACCAATAAAAAGCAAAGATAATTAATTGTTATTAAAGCAAATAGACTCTTTTGTAAGTGTTGACACTATATTACAGCTGCTTAAATCAAGTCAATCTCGAGCTATTTGGGAAGTCTCCCCTTGCATATTTAGGTTCTCTTTTGCTCTAAGGAGCAATCTCTGATCTGTGATAAGCTAAAAAAATATCAGACTTCTTACCAAGTCCATTAAAATATCTTGCAGATCACCCATGGGTGCTCCAACTTAGATAAATCTCCAAGAAGTATTTACAATTTTTTTTTTTGTTACTAAATACTCTGCAAATTCAGTACTGTATTTCTTTTTGCTTTTTTTTTCCCCCAAATTAACAGAGCATGATGAAGTCTTTACTCTTCCAGATCCTTTATATGTCTGTACATACTACTCAAAGGTGAAACCTTTCGAAAAGATTTCAGTAAGACTACAACTGACCAATTCAAAATCTTATTTTAAGTCGTTCTGTGTTTCAGATGAGGTCCAAGACTACAAAAATCTATATTATCCCAGTAAAACAGGAATTTTCTTCAGACATTATGAAGGCCACTACATACAAAATAAATGGTCTTTAAATCTCCACTAATGCTGGAGATAGTTTGCCCATATGAGCAAGTGGCTTGCCTTTCCAGATATTAATCCAAAAGAATCACCTCATATGGCAGAAACAATCGATGCAGAGAGAACTCTGTTG